CCTAAGACCTAGCAGCACCAACCCTAAAGACTAAAGGTCTTGGAACATTACATACAAAAGATCTAGGGTTGTGGCTGAAAATATAATACCCAGCAAAGTTAAGCATAATCCTGAATGAAGGGAAAAAAAGGATATTCAATGAAAATTGCCAGACTTTCAGGATTTTACTGCAAAAAGACCTGAACTAATTAGAAAATCTGACAGATAAGATCCAAGAGAAATATAAGGTACATATCAAAGACTAATTACAAGGGACTCAATAAGGACAGACTGTTTACTTTTTATATGAGGAAATGTAAAATGTATGTCTAAGATTCTAATTAGTAATTGGATAGTTCACAAGAAAGACTGGGGTAGACCTGAGTATGATATGATTCAAAAAGTAAAGCCATTGAGGGAAAGGTAAAAAGAGTAATTTACCTTACACAAATGAGGTGCGAAAGAAAGATGTGACACAGAAGAATTACATGGGGGAGGAGGACTGGTAGTTCTGGAACCCTACTTTCATGGGGAATGGGTTCAAGAGGGAACAATACATATATATCTAGGAGAGGATAAAAGTCTTTTAAATTCAGAAATAAATAAAAAGCTAAAGGGGCAGGGAGGGGGGAGACATAAGGGAGGGATTTTTAGAGGGTGTGGGAGTAGGATAAGTGGAGGGTAGATTAACAGAATGGGAGGATAAAGGAGGGATCCTGAGAGGGGGAAGGTTAAGTAATAGGAGGGCAAGGTAGTGGGTAGAAGTAAAGTAAAGGAGTCAGGAGGGATAGGAAATAAGAGATACACACAAACATAAAAATAAAGATCAGGAGTAGAATTTATTAGGGGAAAAAAAGCAGGGGTAGTAATCATGATCTCAGACAAAGTTAAAGCTAAAATAGATTTAATCAAAAGAAAATAATAGGGATACGACACTGCATGTCAGCAATATTAATCAATGTTGTTTTAGTTTAAAATAACTTGACAGTATAAGGTAGGGATATTGCTATGGTATAGGAAATGATGAGTTAGTGGACTTAGATGGAGAGACTCAGACTTATAAAGAAAGAGGTTATCCACCCTCAGAGGAAACAGAAGACAAGTAAGTATAGTATGGTCTTATACAGATGAATACACATGTATATGTCGATGTATGGCTATGATTATAGATATATATCCTGTATGTGTATATTCTGTGTGTGTAAGTATGTGTATATGCATGTATATACATATAAGGGGCTCTTTTTTGCTTTAGCACCATCTTCTGAAAAACGTATGTGTATGTATGTTTGTATATGTGTATATTTAAAAAAATATATCTGCACTTAATTGTAGCCACCTTGGGGGAAGGAAGGAAACAAAGAACAAAGTAAAAAGAAAATTTACAAGGAAGCAGAGAGAGAGAGAGATGGACAGCTCTGAACACAATGGGTACTATTTACTATATAGACTTTCTTGAAATGGAAATTTATAGCTGTATATTTTGAATTCTCTCTTACATTCTGCTGTGCACATGGCAATACTTTTTTCTTTTCTTATTTTATATTTAAGTTTTAATATTTAAGTGTATGTTTCTTTTTCTCTTCTTATTGCGTATTTAAGTTTTAGTATTTTAGTTAAAAATAATATTTAAAAAAAGAAAAAGAAAAAAATAAATGTCTAAAGGCTACAATTCTTAAAAGAAAAGAAAAGAAAAGAAAGAAATTAAGTTCAACAAATATTTATTAAAAGCCTAACATTTTTGCAGGGAACTATGCTAGGGATGGTAGATACAAAGAGAAAAATGAAACTATATTTGTCCTTAACTTAAAATCTAATGGAGGTTATAAACACTCTTCATTCACATTCTTAACAAATTTTTAAACTACCTTTTCTCAAGATTCTCTAGAACTCTGCTCCCCTTCACTGATAAACTTTTAGAAAAAAAATGATCTATACAAAATGACTTCATTTCATTAACACCTTATTCATTCTTTAACCCCCTCACAAATCAGTAGGCTCTTTGAGAGAAGAGATTGTCTTATTTAAACTTTTTATCTCCTTTAGTGCCTAACATTACATGCAATAGATACTTAGTAATTGTTTGTTGTATTGTACGACAACTGGCTTCTTTCATACTAACAAAATAGCCAGACATTCTTCAGGATCAGCAGATGCAATGGTTTTCCCCCCCTCTACTTATCCTGCTTCACTTCTCTAAGAGCTATGGTACTGCCAATCACACCCTCTCCTTCCTCATGGTCTATGCTTTACCTCTGACTCTCTCATGTCTCTATATCTAGCTGCTTCCTTTAGTCTCTCAAATGCACACATTCCCTTAAAGGTAAATTCTTGGCCCTTTCCTCTCTCTTCAGTCCTATAAACTGCCAAAGCTTCAAATGATCACCTCAACACAAATGACTTCCAAATCTGTATCTCCATCCAATACTTCTCTCAAACCTCATCTGCAAATGCCAATGATCATTTCTACGGAGATATTCCAACCCATCTCAAAACTGACATGTCTAAAATAAACTTATTTGTCCTTTAAAACCTAACCTATGCCTAAAAACCTTATTTCTGTTAACTTCAAAATAATTTTCCCATCACTTAAGGAAGGCCTTTTCCCTCTCTCACTCCCACGTTACTAAATCCTATTGGCTCTACTTATAAAAGTCTATTTCATAATTAGGAAGCCTACCTAGGTGAAGCTGCAAGGCACTCTGAAGGAATATGGGGCAGGCAAATCAAACTACCATCACCACACTTCCTTCAGATTACAAGGAGATAGCTGAGGACCCTTAACCCAAGGGCCTTAGGAACAGTAGTCCCTCTCAGACCAGACCAGCCCTGTTTGGCAACATCTGTAGAAGCAACCACAGTACAGATGCCACCTGGCAAGTGCTTCTGCTGGTGCTTTTGCAATCATAATTACTAGAGACCCAGAGAAGAAAATTCTTGCCCCCAGAGGCTTTGGCACTGTCAAATGGTTCAACATCAGAAACTGGTAAGATTTTAAAGGTGGAAATGACATTTTAAAAGATGAATTTTTAGTTTCTCTGCCACTATACCCTAAGGACCACGGGATTTTCCACTTGATTTGAAGCTGAAACCTTCTATATGTGTTGCCTCCCCATTAGAATTCTGAGTTTCTTGAGAATAGGGGCTGATTTTATTTTCTGTTTATTTCTAGAGCATTCTAGCAATTAATAAGTGTTTTTTCATTCATTCATTCGTTCAAAATGATAACAGAAAACAAGCATTCCTAACTCAGGAAGAAAAATTATAAGTATTTTCAATAGTCTGAAACATCCATAGTTTTTGATTATTAGAGGTGAATAAAATTTCTAGAGAAACTTTATAGAAACTGGCTTAGTTTACATCTGGAATTGGAAGACACATTAGAGAACATTAAAGATGTTTCCCTACCCAAACTACAGAGGACCTGTAAAATAGTGAAAGATCTTTATTTTTGAGTGCTCTGCCCTCTGTAGTCTTATCACAGAGGCTCTCTTCACTTCAAAGGGTAGGAGGATAGATCTGTTTTTAAGTTTATAAATTTTAAGTACTAAGAATGTTTGGTAGTAAAGGTAAAAATGCCACAGATAAGAGCTGGTCCACTACAGCATATATAATTTATTGTTTGGAAATAGCATAGTATAGTTGAAGGTATGCTGGATTTGAAGTCAAATCCATTTTGCTATTTATCAGCTGCATGACCTCGGGCAAGTCATGTATAGTCTAGTCACATGGATTCTCTGGGCCTTCGTTTTCTCATCTGGCTGGACTGGATGGCCTTTATGGACCCTCGCAGCTCTCAACCTATGGTCCAAATGATCCTAAGGGGCCACTTAATTGTGATAAATTCAGCAAAGAAAGAAGTCAAGCCTAATTTATCCTGTAACAGATTCTCTCTTTTTTTGGTGAGGCAATAGGGGTTAAGCGACTTGCCCAGGGTCACAGAGCTAATAAGTTTCAAGTATCTGAGGTCAAATTTGAACTCAGGTCCTCTTGACTCCAATGCTAGAGCTCTACCTACTGTACCGCCTAGCTGCCCCAATAAAGTAATCTTTTTTTTGGGGGGAGGTGAGGCAATTGAGGTTAAGCTGCCCCAGATTCTCTTTTCATATTAATTATTCCTTCATCTTATTTAGAAAAGGCTGAGAAAAGTTCTAGACTCTTCCTTATAGTGCATGAAAGTGGAACAAAGAGTTGTCTATTCAGGCTAGTTTATGCTTATTTGGAGAGGTTAAAGCTTCAGGTGGTACAGTGGATAGAACTGTGGGCCTGGAGTCTGGAAGACCAGCCTCAGACACTATTCGCCTCAATTTCCTAAAATGTAAAATGGGGATAATAATAGCACCTGCTTCCCAGCATTACTGAGAGAATCAAATAAAATATTTGTAAAGTGCTTAGCATAACACCTAACTCATAGTAGGTCCTATGTAAATGAATTATTTATCCATCATTATTACATACAAACTTGCAGAGAGACAAAGGGGCTGTAAGACCTAGTGTCTCACTTCAAAATATTCATAAACCAAGGAACAGCTCACCATACTTGAGTTTTGTATTATTTGATTTTCCAGTAAGACACTTGGAAAAGAACCTTTGATGTTAATATTGCCATTCATAAAGTCTCCATATTATAGGAAGCATATAAACCAACCTCTCAAACAGGTGAGATAACATTAATAACTGACTTTGCAAAATGCTTTATATCCACTTTCTCATTTGAGCCTCATAACAACTACAAGAACTAAATCAGAGAGGTACTATTATCCCCATTTTTCAAAGAAGGAAACCAAAGCTCAGAGAGGTTGCATTACTTTGCCCATGACTGTGTAGTTAGAGCAGGCACTCTGTTTACTGTACCAAGCTGCCTCTCAAAATTACATGTACACAGACCTAAGAATATTAATAATGTCATGAATAGTTACAAAATGAATATGAAAATGGACTAGTTTTTCTTTCAAAGACCCTCCTATGATATTTATCTGGGCAAAAGAAAGGTAATAAAAAAGAAAAAGTAAAAAACCTACCGGATCAATAGTAGGTAAAAGGTCTCTTTTCTCTTGACCATCACTTTCATCTTCATCAGTGCTATATTCTTCCATGGTTTCACCACTGACAAAGTGAATGACCCGTCTTGGAATTTTCTTTTTTTTCCCTATGACACCCAGCTCTACATTTTCAAAGTTTCCATCACAACTCGTTTGTACCTGTAATATTATAGGAAAAAAAGGTAATTTTGTGTGGGTTTGCTTTTCCCTCCCTCGTTTCTGAAACACAAGCAAAAAATTTAGTCTTAAGAAATTGGAGCTGGAAAGGGCCAAGCTCTCAATTAACCTCCCTGGACCCCAGTTTCCTCCTCTGTAAAATTAAGGGACTGAACTAGATGACCTACAAGAAAAGACAGTTTGAGCTCTAAATCAGTGATCTCCTTATCATTTCACAGACTGAAACCTAGAAAGGTTTTGTGGTTTGCTCAAGGTAACAAAATCAGTTAGTGTCAAGGTCAGTATTGTAAAAGGAAATCAGATCTCCTGACTCTCAGTCTAGGGTTTCTCACACTCTACCATTCCTTCTCTCTTAATAACAGGGAAAAAAAAAAAGAAAAAGACAAAAGAAAACCAGAAATTAACTTATTTCAACTGATGATGTAATTTTCATGTTTTTTTGAATTAAGAGCAAACAATTAAAAAAAATAAACTAGAAGGCAATTGGGAAAATACATGAATTTGAGGTCCTACCCAATCAGCATTTATTAAACACCTACTGTATACTAGGTGGTAGAGATCCAAAAGTAAGAAGAAAAATAGCCCCAGCTTTCAAAGAACTTACTTTCTACTGGGGGTGAGGGGAAGAGAGGAAAGGAGATACAACATGTAAACAAATATATACATGGTAATTTGAGGAGGAAGCATTTACTACTAAACCACCCCCAGAAGGGAAGTCTAGAGAGGAAAGAAGAGAGAAAGGTAAGACTAACTGTTGTTGCATCATAGAGATGTTGGCATAGTTAGCAGCAGAGGCCATGAATCAGGTCAGATTCTCTTGCAGATCAGCAGATTGGAACACACATCATAGCTCAGTTATACTTAATTAATGTGTAATCCTAAGCCACAGGCTCCTCATCTGTAAAATAATGGGTTAGATTTATAACCCATTACCTTATATATGAATGTGGTCAGCAGCACAGATTCAATGGAAGTATACTATATTAAAAAAAAATCTTTTTTTGAAAGTTATGCATAAATCCAGTTTTTTTTAAAAAGTTACTATAAACCATAGTTTTTTTTTTAAAGGCAATTGGGGTTAAGTGACTTGCACAGGGTCACACAGCTAGTAAGTGTCAAGTGTTTGGTCTGAGGCCAGATTTGAACTCACATCCTCCTGACTTCAGGGCGGATCCACTATGCCATCCAGCTGTCCCCTAAACCACAGTTCTTAAGCTATAAAATTAAATACGTTCGGGGAATTTAATAAAGGAAATTTTTTTCAAATGCAGAAAGGTTGAGGAGAATGAAAAAATGGCCTCTCAGAAAAGTCCACTGGGGATTTGGCACTTAAGAGATCACTGGTAACATTAGAGAGCAAAAATGTGCTGTTGGACTGAGTTAACTCTGGATTCTGAAGAGTTGCCAAAGATCAGGTCTATTCCACTGGGGATGTTTTCTTTTTAGTTAATCTCATCAGAATATCCTTGTGGAGCCAGAAATCTCTAAGACAGTGGAGGTGTCCTTCAAGATAGAAATCAGTAAGGCTCATTCTGTTCTTGCCAGGCTGAGGCTCTCTATTTTTACAATTCTTTCTTGAGCTGCTCCTTTAATTTCAAAGATTACTTCTTGGAGATATTTACTCAAAACTCACAATTTGCCTCCTCCACAATTCTTCCCTTTGATACTTCCTCAGAAATATCAACAAAATTGGCTTACTCAATCTATAAGTTCACAATATAGAAAGTCAGTTAGCTGTACAGCAAAACAGGAACCTTAGTTCAAAGAGGTTTATGATGGTGACAACACAAAAATATGATGAACAAATCATACAAAATCCAGAACATTCTTTAAAACATTGACCAAGTAGCAAACAAATGTGATTGCAATAAATCTTGGAGGAATAAAATACAGCTTGAACAACCCTGGTCTTAACTTTCCAAAAGGAACAGGATATTATTAAGAGAAAATGGACAACAGACATGACCGCAATCAGGAAGACAAAAAGAAACAGGGGACGAACATAAATGTCCATTTAGGTATTAGGTTTCTTCTTGTGGTTAGCTAGAAACACTTTCCCTTGCAAATTCTATGTTAAAGGGGTCTGTCCTAGACCACTATTCACAAATTGTCCAGCGTTATTTGCTCACACTGGGATGGACTTTTACATGTTGTTTCTAGGGCATATTTTCAGAAGTGTTTCTTTCAGTTGTCATACTGTCCCCTTGTCTCCTAGGTAATGCTGATCAAACCTGCTAGTTGAAAAGACAATATAATTTAGGAGGGCCTGACAAAACATTGGCCTTCCAGTAACTAATTCTTGGGTGAAAGTCAGTGCAAACCTTATGGAGTTAACCTTGTAAAATTCAGAGCTAGAGGAAGAATATCAAACCAGTGTACAAGCAACTTATGTGAAAGCTCAGTTGTAATATTTACACGTCATTTTTTTCTTTTCACCTTGTCCAAGTCCCATAGAGATTATGGATAATACTGTCTACAGGTTAAAATAATTTTTTTTCTCTTAACACTCACTTTTTTACATTTTGAGTTCAAAATTCTTACAATCCCTCCCCAACTCTAAAACATATCAATTATATGTATGAAATCATGCAAAACAGATTTCCATATATGTCATTTTTTAAAAAGGCAAGAAAAACAAAGTAAAATAGTATGCTTCAATCTTCACTCAGAGTTCATCAGTTCTTTCTCTAGTTGGGGGATAGCATTTTTTCATCGTAATTCCTTCAGAATTGTCATGGATCATTATACTGATTATAGTAGCTAAGTCTTTCATAGTTGACCATCTTATTTTTTTTTGATGTTGTTCAGTTGTGTCCAATATTATGTGCTATGGACCACAGCATGCCAGGCCCTTATATATCCTCCATTATCTCTTGAAGTCTATCCAAGTTCATGTTTATTGTTTACCATTACCGTTTAAAATGTTCTCCTGATTCTCACTTCACTTCACTTAGCATCAGTTCATATAAATCTTCCCAGGTTTTTCTGAAACCAATCCTGCTCATCATTTCTTATTGCACAATAATATTCTATCATATGAAATATCTTGTTTCTTTGTAGACCTGGACCCCAGTTTCTCTCAATAATATTCTAATCCTTTTGGAAAGTTAAGACCAAGGTTGTTCAAGCTATGTATTTTATTCCTCCCAGATTTACTGCAGTAGCATTTGTTTGCTATTTGACCAATGTTTAAAAGAATGTTCTGGATTCTGTATGATTTGTTCACCATATTTTTGTTTTGTAACCACCATAAACCTCTTTGAACTAAGGTTCCTATTTTGCTGTGCAACTAACTGACTTGCTATATTGTGAACCTATACACTGAGTAGGCCAATTTTGTTGATATTTCTGAGGAAGTATCAAAGGGAAGAACTTGTTCAACCATTACCCAAATGATGGACATTCCCTCAATTTCCGATTCTTTGCCACCACAAAAAGAATTGCTATAAATATTTTTGCACACATAGGTCCTTTTACTTTGGTCTCTTTAGGATACGGTCCTAGTGGTGGTATTGCTGGGTCAAAGAATATTGCAGTTTTATAGCCTTTTGGGCATAGTTCCAGATTGTTCTGTAGAATGGCTGGACCAGTTCACAACTTCACCAACAATGCATTAGCGTCCCTATTTTTCCACATTTCCTCCCAGCATTTCATTTTCCTTTCCTGTCATATTAGCCAATCTGATAGGTGTCAGGTAGTGTATTAAAGTTGTTCTAATTCACATTTCTCTAAGTAGTGATTTAGAGCATTTTATACGACCATATCTTATTTAATATTTTATTTTTCCCCAAATACACATAAAAACAATTAACATTCTTTTAAAAAATTTTTGAGTTTTAGATTTTTCCCCTCTCCTCCCTCACTAAGAAAGCAAGCAATTGGACATATAGATTATACATATGCAATGACTATTGATATCTTTGATTTCTTCTTCTGAAAGCTACCTATTCATATTCTTTACTCTTTATCAACTGGGTAATGGCTCTTATTTTTAACTCAATTCCTTATAAATTTAAGAAATGAGGCCTTTATCAAAAGACCTTGCTGTAAATTTTTCTCTCTCTAGTTTTCAGCTTTCTTCCAATTTTTGGCTGCATTGGTTTTATTTATGCAAACCCTTTTTAATTGCATGTAATTGGAATTATCTATTTTATTTTCCATCATCTTCTCTATCTTGTTTGGTCACAAAACTTAGATCTGACAGGTAAATTTTTCCATGCTCCCCTAATTTACTTTATGATACCATCCTTTATTCAAAATCATGCACCCATTTTGACCTTATCTTGGTGTACAATGCAAGCTATTGGTCTCTGCCTAGTTTCTGCCAAACTGCTTATCAGTTTTCCCAGCAATTTTTGTCAAAGGGTAAGATTACTATGGTCATTTACTACTGTGTATTGTGTATTCCACTGATCCACCACTTCTTTTTTGCAGCCAAAGTAAACAAATTGTCTGGGACTGTAGGTAGTAGTGAGAGAAGCACAGCTTCCAAGTTCCAGGTTCCACTATATTGTTGATCTCTGGTCAAATTACAACTGGAGTATTGTGCTCAGTTTTGGGCACTTCAGTTTAGCCAGGACACTGATAACGCAGAGACTGTTGTTCAGTTGTGTCCAATTCTTTGGGATCCTATTTGTTGTTGTGGTTGGGTCTTTGTTTTTTTGGGTTTTTTTTGGGCAAAGATACTGGAGTGGTTTGTCATTTCCTTCTCCAACTCATTTTACAGATGAAGAAACTGAGGAAAACAGGGTTAAGTGACTTGCTAGGGTCACACAGCTGGTATCTGAGGCTATTTAAACTCAGAAAGATGAGTCTCCCTCACTCCAGGCCTGGCACTCTATTTATTGTGCCACCTGGCTGCCCCACTAAGGCAGAGACGGTGAAGGGCAATATATACTACATGAGGTTCAAATGGAGGAAGTGGGAATGCAGAAGATAAGATTCTTCTAAGGAGGATATGTAATTGTCTTCAAGTATTTGAAAGGGTGTCACACAGAAGAGTGATTAAACTTTTAGCTACAGAGAGCACAATCAGAAACACTGGGTGAAAACTGAAAAGAGGAAAACTTAAGCTTGCTATCAGGAAAAACTTCCTAACAATGAGTAGTATCCAAAAGAAGAATTGGTTCCCTTGGGATTTAGTGGATTTCCCCTAAAGGGAGGTCTTCAAACCAACATTGGATGGTCACTTCTAGGGTATTGATGGGCATTTTCTTACATATAGATTGGACTAGATGGCTGTTCAGGTCTCATCTAACTCTAAAATTCCATGATTCTGGAGGAACAAGTATTATGTTACATCACAGACAGAAAATAAGTCAAACAAATTCTAATTTTTTTGGCAATAGAATTCATTTGAAAAGTCTACCACCTAAAAAATAAAAAGCAACTTCTGAATATTTGTCACATAAAAGGCAGTAGCAGCCTAATTATATTTCTAGGAGTCTTACTTTCACATACAGCCTATGTGTTTATGAACAACAAATGCCTATTTTTTTAGCTATAAGAGAACATCAGAAGTTAATTACTAAAAAAACTGTCCATCTAAGTAGCAAACTGAAAGTGAATTAGGCCAGACAAACCAGGAAAAAAAAGCAGAAAACAAATTCACTTAAAAACTGAGATGAATCTTATATATTATTAGGTCTTGACAAAAAAAATGACAATTGTGACAATATGGAAAATATAATTGAGTATATAATAACAAGGACTACAAACAGCTATACTGAGATTTATCAAGAAAGATTCTTTTTTCTACCTTAGTGGTTGGAGATGTTAGCACCAAAGTAAACAATGCCTCAGTAGTCAGCAGGCTAGAATTAACTTAAAGAAAAACTTTGATATGAGGAAAAATTTTTAAACAATTAGAGTAGTCCAAATTTGGACTGCACAGCCTTAGAAAGTGGTGGATTAGGAAAGACCTTAATTGTAGGTGTTGAAGCAAGGGCTTGATTGACCTTTTTTTAGCTGAGATGTATAAAGATTTCTTTCTCAAGTAAAAATTGGACTAAATGGCCACTAAGATGATTCTCCAAATTCTAAAAATTTCTGAGTCTGAATAACCTATCTTCGACAAAGTAAATTTATACAAACCTACAACTACCATTCTAAAAGGCAAAATATATGGAAAATTTAAAAACTTACAAATTAAAGACATCAATGACAATGATTCCTATTTAAAAATTATCCTTTCCTTTATAAAAATATGAACACAAGTATGTTCTGTAAAATACTTAGCACCTCATTTAAAATAACAGAGTTTAAAACAAACAAACTAACTGTGCCTTTCCAGAAACTCATATTGTGCAAAGCAATGTAATACAGATAACTTCAATTTACTACGGTGGTAAATCAAAGCAGAAGCATTCTTCAGTACGTACCCAGGAAAAAATGAGCAGGTTCAATTAAATAATTCTTATTTCAAAAATGATTCTTCCCATTGTAAAAATATGCACAGATTTTTTTTTTGGAATACTTTAAAAAATAACTGCTCAAAACACACCTGAGAACAAAGTGGCCCCGGGAAAGTTAGTGACATGGCTTGAATCTTTCCTCAGGATGTTAGTGGGCAAAGGATCCCTACAAAATCATGTAGTCCAACTCTATCTATCGCCAGGGAAAAATACTCAAAAATCTTCCATAGAAACAGGGAGAGAACTGTAACCAGCACTAAGAGTGGGAATACTCGCTCAACCAACAAAGATCACAACCCATCTACGTTTTACTGGCATCAGTCATAATTAGTTGCTTGAGGAGGAAAAAAAAAAGCCTAACAGCCATCAAAGGTCAGAGGTCATTGGAAGCCAGGTCCGCCTGATTTCGAGTCCTGAGCTCCATCCACAGCGACACGCTGTCATTACGGTCATTTATGTCTTTTGGCTATAACTCATAATTAACTACAATTTACAAGGAATTTGTAGTTTAGGAAAAAGGAAAAAACAAAAACCCCAGTAAGTAAACGCTGGCACCAAGGCTCCGAGGCCATCTTCCATTTGGCTTTCAGGAAATTAAAGAGAATGGCTCTCACAGAAAATGGATATAAGATTCCTTATCTGAGAGGGGAAGATGGGACAACTTGAGGTTTTTAATAACAAGGGGTACTTAATCCCCGTACAATTCTCAACAACTATTCCACTTCACGTAATTTCTCTCGTGGCTTGGCTGGGTGAAAAGCCTCTCGGGCTCGGGGACCAGCCCCGTCTCCCACCACAATGAAAGCAGCCGGGCAGCGGGGAGTCCCAGGGCACAAGTCAGCCAGAAGCCGAGCACAAGCGGCCGGCCCTCCCCTTCGCACCACAGCCGCCCTTCGGGCGGTGCGACGGGGCCGGCTGCTAGGCCGGGATCCGTGGGTTCGTCCCACCTACCTGTCCCACCGGCTCCCCAAGTCGTTCCACGGCGACCACCGCTCGCAGAGCGGCTTCTCCCCTCGAGGGATCCTGGTTCATAGCGTGGCACGAGGTAGGTGAAACAGACTGTAACTGCAAATAAACCTGCATCCATCCTCCGCCTCCCGGAGGAGTCGTTGCCGGGGCTACCGCCGCTCCGAGAAGCATCAACTGCTGCCCCGACCCAGGAGCCCCTGGGCCCTCCTGGGCGTGGGCGAAAGCCTGCCAGAACAAGGGCGGAAGCTTCCCTCCCCGACGCCGCGTCGCCTGAGGCCCCGTTTCAGCCCCGCCTCTTCCGGCGCGCAGGACGCTGTGTCCACCCCGCCTCATGTAACCACTTATACTGTGCGTACTTTGGGTGTTGCCACAGCCTGTGTGTGTAATGTGAATGGTGTTGACATTCTGCCCAAAACTTTCCTGGGTCTTTTAGGCGGAGCAAAAAGAGAATTAACCTTTGCCATAAATCCAGTCTCTGTGGGGCTTTTAACTGCATGACATTACTTTTTATTATTAATTTTTTTTAAAAAAGGCTACTGTTTGCAATTAGATCCCCAATTTAACAACTTATAGAGGAAATGCTCCAGTAAGCCTACCACAATACCTTTTCTGTCGTGCGAAAGGTGGCTGTTATTTCATTCTCTTTACCTTTTGCCTAATTTTCCTCCCTAGGCTTTCAAGTATGTGTTTGTTGATTAATTAATTATTATTAATTAATAACATTAATTTTTAAAAGCCCTAAGAGAAATTAGATGGAAAATGGCTGAAAAATAGATATATTTAAATAGCTATTTTGAAGGGAACTTGGTGGAAGAGACAAAGCAGAGAAAGAAAACTATATTTTTATTAAAAAATATGTAGCCAGGTTGAATTTATAACAAGAATATATTTAATATAAGGAAAAATATAAACACGAGAGACTATACGAATAACAAAGATAATATAGATCTTATGATAATAGATTTTGAAAAAACCGGACAAAATTCAACAGTTACTTGTTATAACAACACTACAGCATTAAAGCCTTTTCTTAAGTGGTAAGTAACAGCTTTCTAAAACCAAGAGAGTCCTTTCAAATTAAATTAGTGATATTCATTATTACCATTATTAGTTAATGTAATGCTATAAATAAGAAAAAGAGAGGAAAAAACAGGTAAAGAGGAAGTAAAATTTTTTTTGTATGTGAAAAAATGGTATAAAAATTCCACAAAATAAACTAAAAATTAAATAAAATTTTAGCAAAGTTTCAAGGCATAAAATAAATTATTAGCATTTTTGTATTTTATCAACAAACCCAATAGGAAAAGAGAGAAAAAGAAACATCATCCAAAATAATTACAGACTAAATAAAACATGTGAGAGGCTACTACCAAGACACACACTATAAAAACGCAAGACAAATTGTACAGAAATAGATCTAAATAATTGGAGAAATGTTAGCTGCTCATGATTAGGCTATCCCAATAAAATAAAATTGCAGTATTACCTAAATCAATTTACTTATCCAGTGTCACACTAATCAAACTACCAAAGGACTACTTTACAGAGGTTCTTAACTTTTTCTGTGTGTCATGGACCCCTTGGTGAAGCCTATGGACCCTTTCTCAGAATGTTTTTAAATACATAAAATAAAATACATAGGGTTGCAAAAGAAATCAGTTATATTGAAATAGTTATCAAAATTAAAAAAATTCACAGACCCCAAGTTAAGCATCCCTGATTTGGAGGAATAAAAGATCAAGAATGTCAAAGGAATAATGAAAAGTAGGAAGGGAATAAGCATTTATATAGTACCCACTAGGTGCCAGGCAATGTGCTAAGTGCTTTACAAATATTATCTCATTTGATCCTCACAATAACCCTAACAGGTGCTGTTATTATCCCATTTTTATAGTTTTGGAAACTGAAGCAAACAGAGGTTAAATGATGCTGAGGGTCACATACCATATAGGTGTCTGAGGCCAATTTTGAACTCGGATCTAGTAGTCTTTCCACTGCACCACCACCAAGTTGTCTCAACACATAGGAATTATAAAAATACAACAAAACATGCTTTACAGAAATATAGACCTAAATAATTGGAGAAATATTATATGCTTATGTGTAGGACAGGGAATCTAAAAGCCAAAGATCTCAAAGCAGTAATCATCAAAACTATTTGGAAAAGGTTAAAAGAGAAAGATTCCTCAATGGAACAAACAGAATTGAAGGGCAAACAAAACTAGTAGTCTAATAGTTGTCTGATAAACTTTTAAGACCTCAGCTATTGGGGTAACATAGGAAAGTTAGAAAGCAATCTGGCAGAGATTTGGTATACACTAGTTAAGTTCCAAACAGATATACAACCTAGATATAAAAGGTTACATCATAAACTGGAGAAGCAAGAAATTACATTTTGGATCTATAGATAGTTTGTGACTAGAGCAACAATTTTGATCATATATGTTTTAAAAGTTTTTGAACATCCTCAATGTTCTTAGAGGAGCAAATGTATTCGTATTCAGATAACTAAGTAACCAGACCATGGTCATGCAAGCTGTATGTTTCGGAGGCACAACCAGATCTCATTTTCCTGACCCCAGGGTCAACCCTCTATTTAGTTCCCTATGCTGCCTCTCTTACTATTTCATTTAACCTTCACAGTTTTCGAAACTGTCCTGATTTTCAAAAAAGTGAAGAGAACAGAATCTTTAAAAAGCCTAGAAAAAATTAGTTATATGACAAACAAGTTTCATGGCATAATGTTTAAAATCATTCAACAGCTGTGATTTGGCTAAATTTTTCAATAAGGTGATGGACTAAAGCATAAAGTTACTTTAATTTAGATCAGGGCTTCTTAAACTTGTGACCCCTTTTTGCTGGAGGAATTTTTATATGATCCTGGGTATATAGGTATATAAAATACGTATACAAATCAAATATTTACTGATAATAAATCATAAAGAAATTGATTTTAAAACAATTCTTTGGCATATCTATAATTTTACCAGTTATTAAAGACTAAAAAATTTATATACTAATGAGATATTTGCTCTTGTTTATTTTTAGATAAAGAATTAAATCTTGGTGGACGATTTGACATTGCAGGACACAGAACATTTTCAATTTTTTTTCAGAATCCATCAATATTTTGATTTTATAATCATCAATGCTAAAGAACACCACTTCACATAAATATATAATACTAAATGATAGAACTATGTTTAGGGGCATTTCAGCAACTGTTGGAAATCTGTCCGAATCCCAAGCCAAAATTCATTTACCAATTTTGTACATACAGTAGAAAGACTGCAATTCATAACATACAATAGTCTCGAATCTGAGCCAAGGTGTTTCTGGCAGCATTCCTTGGTGTTGCATAGTGCAAAGTGTGTATGCTGTTTGTTCAGAACCAAGGCTTCACTGAAGTTGCACAATGCAATGTGGTCAAGTGCTGCAAGAAACCCCTTGGATTCATTACATGTTTGATTCTGAATTAATTTTTGGTCATCGTGTGTTCTGAAACCACCTACTGTTGCCAAATTTTTCACGACCCCCACATTCAGTTACATGACCCCATATGGGGTCATGATCCACAATTTAAGAAGCACTGATTTAGAAAGATGGTGGCACTATATTCACTATATGTGATATTCAAGCAGATTTAATAATTATAGCTGTCTTTAGATTATATACAAACTATATATGTCTTCAGATTATATACAAAAACTTAAGCAAATGTCTTTAATTAATGGGACATTGAGAGTCTCAATATTGATTACAGATAGTTAAATTTTATTTATTTCAAGGGGTGCAGTTAAGCATTATGCTAGTGTCCTTGGGTGTAACAATTTTTTTTTCTAGCTTGAATACATCACTGTTATTTTGAATTTTGATCTTTTTTATAGATTTTTCTTAGCTAAAATCAAAACCAGTATGTAGCACAGGCTAAGGAAATTAATGCTTAAATAATTATTTCTATGAAAAAAAAGGCTTTGTACAAGTTCTATTTCCCTCGCAAAGAATGGTATCGGTCAACATCACACATAATAAGATTTTATTACTGACAACATATTACTGTGAGAATTCCTGTATGGTATCAGATTTAAGTCATTAATTTTCTTTCAGATATTAAACCTAAAATTAGGAATATCGGTATTATGTTAAATCTTGATTTCTGGTTCAGTTAGAAACCTGTGAAGTAAACAAGGTGATAGCTAAGGAATCAAGCATATTTAAGATACTGTCAAAGGAAAATTTACTTAAATATTTACAAAGTACTTAACAGTTTTATAGCATTTTCTACTTTCAAAGGACATTAGTAGAGAACTGTCAAGTTAACATTGGTTAAAAAAAATTCCCACAAATAGAAGGGGAAGGATATAAGAGAAGGGAGGGGGAAGAGATAGAAGAGAAGGCAGACCAGGGGAAGGAGTATTCAGAATGCATGACATCTTGGGGTGGGGGGAGGGGTGAGAAATTTGGAACTCAAAAACTTGTGGAAGTGAATATTGAAAACTAAAAATAAATAAATTTATATTAAAAAAAAAGAAATGGAAATGAAAAAAAAATTCCCACAAACCTCTTAAAGGAACATCAGAGCTTGAGAAGCCTTTTGAAATAATTCCCAAACTTTGAAATAGTTTTCCAGCATTTTTTGGTCCCCATATCCTTTGGCTTTCAGGAAACTTTCCTGTACTCTTCTTATTCAATATGAAAGGAAACATATTCTAGAGTTTACCATGCATATAAGAAATAAAGAGATTAATTTTCCATAAAGAAAACTTTATTGAATACATACTATTTTAGTAGCATAAAGTTGTCAATGTTTATGAGAACAGAATAATTAGTAAGATGCTTGATTCTATTTCCTGTAAATCAAAAATTTTATTCTCTGTGGAGACATACAAATTGATCACATTGAGTCTCCAGTTTGTTTCTTTCTGTAGATCTTATTGAGTACAACACTGAGAATCCTACTTAAAAGAGATAAATTATCATTAATGGAATTAAAGCCTTATAAGCATGGGACATGCTCATCCAATATGCCAAAAATGTTGCAATTTCACTAAATGGAAATTAATTTGGAATTTCTAATTATTTTGGGAATCAGTTAATCTCTTACTGGGTAAAAAGGGGTTCAAACAAAAAACTCATTTATTTAGTTTGCATCAGTAAGAATTATATTCATTCCTTCAATTGTCTTTCAAATTTTTTAGAGGTACTGTAAAGCTCCCTTTGTCAGCTCACCTTTTTTACCATATTCTCTTCAGTCTACAAATTTTTCTTCACCAACAGTACTACATTTGGAATATTTCAATAAGATAATATAGTTTTTTAGAGAGGCCACAGGAAGTAGTGGTTAGAACGCTGCCATCAAAATCCAGAAAAACTGAGTTCAAATCCCATCTCTGACACATCATGTTATGGGACCTGGGCATATGACAAACCCTCTAAGACTATAATTTGCAGATAATGTACCAATGTGGGTGTGTTTCCTCACCCAGGAATTATCTTTGCCAAGGAAATCAAAGGTCTAGTCTCTTTCCTGTACCTTTCTCCATTTGATAATTTTCATATACCGCATGGTGGTATAGGTAATTCAGGCTAGGATCCCTTGATCTAGTTCAACCCTTGCATTTTACAAACATTGAGAAAAACGAGGTCCATAAGTTAAATGATTTATACATGATCACAGAGTAAATGATATTGCCAGGATTCAAAGTTTCATCTCATTGTTAGGGATACCATAGCTTTTTCCCACTACAACTAATGTTCTTTCCTCTGCACATCTAGTTCTGCACCCCTTGAAATAAATAAAAAACAAAACTGGAAAAATCTTCATTATGCCCAAAATGGAGAAAAGGAAAATCAGGCAGTTCTCCTTAGTCAATATTTAACAATTGCAAATATATTTTAAGGACCAAAAAATCTTCACAAAAATGCATATAAAGAAAAGGGCAACACACCTTAAATATATTTTCTCCAATTAGTTCTTTTCTTTGACTTATTTGTTGTTGAACCTTAGTACATTATTTCTCTTTAAAATATATTATATAGGGTAGACTGACTTTTGAAAGAATCTAATATTTAGTGACATTGCATAGTTGAATTAGCCAAAATATATTTCCTTGATCCTTCCATAACAAATCAAGTCTTTGTTGAGGATAAGCTTGCCCTAGTTTGTAGCTCACTAACAAAAATATGTTCAAGATCTCCATGCTATCAGTAATGAATAAGCAGGGAGGAGTGAGTAGTTTACAGTGATAGAAATAAAAAAAGGATTTAAAAAATTTTAAAGCATTTTAAGGTTGAATTATTTTTTAAAAATATACAGAAGAGAACAGGAGAGAGTTTAGAAAAGGACACAGGCAGTACACTTTTGGGACATTTCAATATATACCTACAAAAAAATTAAGCTGTAAGAGATTCATTGTTTCATACACAATTCTCCTTCTGTTCTTTGTAAATGAAAAATGTTCATATTTGTTAATCTAATAATAATTTAAAAAAACTATTAAGAGGTAAAGAAGAATTTTTCTGGTAGTCTTGTCTTCACAACTGAATTAACCTCAGTTGACCAGGCAGCAATTCCACCATGATAACCAAAAACCCAATCAACTATACTGAATTCTCATTAATATTGTGAGGACATATAATATATATAATTTCAACTTAATATTTTATAAACATTTTCACACTGTAAAGCATGTGTTTTAGCTACTTACCATCAACAACTTTTGTTTAAGCAGTTATTGTAGTTTAAAAAAGAAACTATGATTCAGGTTTAAAAGTTAGAAAAAATCTTTTATCTTCTGTCTAACCTGATAAGTGGTCATCCAGCCTTTTCTTTTTTCTTTCAGAGCTAGCTTAAAAAGTTAATAGCAGCTGATATTTATGTATACTGCTTTGTGGTTTCATAACAACCAACACCTAACATTTATGCTGTGAAGCAATTTACTAGATAAAGCTCCAATTTTCTCTGGCAGAATATCTTAATTATAATGTGTTATGTTACATGCAACTTTAGAAATTCATGGTTAAGGCACTAACCATATTTTCCACAAATAGCTGCATTCTTGAGGCATGGTATTAGCTCTACATTTTGCCTTTCCTCGTGCCATTTTTGAAAATTAAGACTGCAAACTACAAAGAAAGTTAACAAACCCCTTTGATTACAACCACTTTAAAGTTTATTTACAGGATTTTTCTTGCGACATCATGTAATAATTGCCTTAGACTGTTTACAAATATAATGGTTACCTTTTGGAACAAATAATTAAAAACTAAGTACTAAATTTCACATCATGATTTGTTTCACTTAACAAGTGAAATTTTGATACAGAAATTAATGAGAGCTGTTTTCTTAAGCAAAAATATGTGATTTCCAGAAAACCCCAGAAACTGAAAAGCCTAAAAAGAAGTCTGAAGAGATCAAACTCCCAAATATTCTTCAACCCCCTCAAAAAAAAAGGGGAAAGAAAAGGAAAGGGAGAATACAATTCTTTTGCCTTACAAAAAAGGGAGGGGAAAAAAATCTGTAATCTCAGCAAAGAGTATCACCAACTGAGTCAGTTTACATTAAGGAATCTTCTTTACATATTATTGAATCCCATCATGCCTTTCATATTTCCAGCAGCTCCTTGTTGAAACTGCCTCATCATTGACTGCAGTCCTGCCATACCTCCTAAAAATAAAGAGAGAGAGAGAGATCGGTAAAGACAAGCAGAAATAGAAACCAGAGCCAATACTTTTAAGTAAGATACAAAGAATATACAGGAGCTATGAAGAGAAATGCCCATATTTCATAAGTGTACATTTTTAATAAAATAAAATTATATTTGCAACTGTCTGTAGGTATTTGTGAAAAGTCAAGTCACATGTATTAGAATGATGGTTCAAAGACTTGGTGGGCCGATAGTAACAAATAGAAAGCACAACACTGAAAACCTGTCTAGCATACAAAAATATATTTACTTGTCTCTGCTAGGAATTCATTCATTAGCAACTACTTAAGTACTCAGACACTCTTGGAACAAGAAGGGCCCTTAGAGCAACAGGCATTTAAAAACTTGAATTTAAAAGTTCTCCCACATCTCTTAAACCAATTCTTCTTTCTCATATCCATTATTCCATCACTGATTCCACTCCATCAACTTGCTCGTCTTGCTTCTCTCATATATTGTCTTCTATCCTTGAATCTCTTGCCCACCAATACTATCACCAACAAGACAACAAGCATTTATTAAATGCCCAATATGTGCCAGGCACTGTGCTAAGTACTGGAGATGCAAAGAAAGGCCAAAAACAATCTCTGTTCTCAAAGAACTCATATTCTAAGAGTTCCAAATCTTTGTCCATGAGCTCCAAAATTCATTTATGTGAACATAATCTTTTATCATTTTCTCTCTGACTTATAACATCTAAGTCTATTCTTTATCCTCACCATGACCTCTAATCCCTTCACCAACCAGTTCTTTCACAGGCCATAAACCCTGTACTAGGTATACTTTGTTCTCTTCCATATCTTACCTCGCCATAAAATAATTTCAAATCAATATTATCCTCTATACTCAAATCCCTTGTCTCCTTATTCTATTGCCTTACCAAACCCGAACTTCAATTATTCCCATCATTCAGTGTCTTAATTCACATTTGTGTGTTACTGAACAGAAAAAAATCACAAAACTGAATACCTTTGCTTGTATGTTCCCACAGGCATCTTAAAGCTAATATATCCAAAACAGAACTCCCACACTAAATCTATCCCACCTCAAACTACCCTATTTTTGAGGGCGGCGTCCACTACACATTTGTATTACATAATCTCAACTGGGCCGTCATTGTACCAAGGAAATCTTTTGCCACCTTCCTAATAAATTTGCCTTTTCACTCATCACAAAAGTTATTAAAAACCCCTTTTTATCCCTTCTCTATTCTCCTATGGCACCCCCTCAGCTGAGGTCCTTACCTCATACTTTACTGAAAAAACAAAAAACAAAAACAAAACCAGATAATTTCTAAAAGCGCCCTCTCTTCTCCACTCTTTATCACATAAAGAGATGAAGTAGCTTTTACCCTGGCCAAGGCAAACCTTGATCCCATCCCATCTCATCTGCACCAGTAAATTTACTGGATCCTTCCTTGCTGACTACAGTGAATTTATATCTCTTCCATCCTTAAGAACCTTCATTTGATCGTATCATGCCTGCTAGCTATCTCTTCTCTCCATCATAGCTGAACTCCTCAAGAAAGTCTTTTACACTCACTGCCTCTACTCCCTAACCTCTCACTGGATTCTAGTCCTTCTTGCACAGTCACTATCTTAGTTTGGACCTCATTATCCCTCCCCTGAACTACAGTGATAGATTGCTCTGTGTCTAGTCTCTCTCCATTCCAAACCATCTTCCATATAGCTGCCAAAATAATCTTCTTAAAGAAGGGGCGGGGTTGTGATAGAAGGGAGGGCAGATTCAGAGAAGGAGTAATCAGAAGCAAAACACTTTTGAGGAGGGATAGGGTGAAAGGAGAGAGAGAGAGGATAGAATAAAAGGGGGTAGGAGGAATAGGATGGAGGGAAATACAGGTAGCAATTGTAAAAAAAATTTTTTTGAAGCTAGTTTCTGATAAAGACCTCATTTCTCTAACATAGAGAACTGTGTCGAATTTATAAAAATAAGAGCCATTCCCCAATTTTGATAAATGATCAAAAGATATGAACATTTTCAGATGAAGTAATCAAAGCTACCTAAAGCTATATGAAAAAATGCTTTACCTCACTAAGCAAGTTAAAACAATTCTGAGTTACTACCTCATAGTTATTCAATTAGATAACAGGACAGAAGAGGTAAATGACAAATGTTGGAGGGGATGTGGGATAAAGGAGACATTAATGTACTGTTGTCAGAGTTGTAAACTGATTAAACCATTCTATATAGTAATTTGGAAGTATGCCCAAAGGGCCATAAAACCATGCATACTCTGACATAGCAATATCACCATTAGGTCTGTATCCCAAAAGAGATAAAAAACAAAAAGCAAAAGGACCTATATGTACAAAAATATTTATAGCAGATCTTTTCTAGGGGTAAAGAATTAGAAATTGAGGGGAAACACATCAACTGGGGAATGGCTGAATAAGTTGTGGTATATAATTATGATGGAATACTAGTGTACTATAAGAAATGATGAGCAGGATGCTCTCAGAAAAATCTAGAAAGACTTACATGGGTTGATGCAAAGTGAAATGTACTAGGTCCAAAGTAATAGCAATGTTGGAAGATGATCAGCTGTGAATGATCTGGCTACTCTCAGCAATAGAACGATTCATGACAACTCTTAAGGACTTAGGACGAAGAATGCTATCCATCCCCAGAGAAAGAACTGATGGTATCTGAACACAGATTGAAGCAACTTTTTTTCCCCCACTTTCTTTACTTTTCTTCAGTTTTTTTGGTCTATGTTTTCTTTCACAATATGACTCTTATGGACATGTTTTACATGACTACACATATACATCCTATATGGAACTGCTTGCCTTCTCAATGAGAGTGGATGTGGAGAGAGAAAGGGAAAGAACTTGGAACTCAAAGTTTTAAAAACAAATGTTAAAAAAACAAAAACAAAAACCAAAATACTCCCCTTAAGGCACATATCAGACTATGCTACTTTGTTCAAAAATCTTTTCCCTACTGTCTCAAGATTAAAACACAAAACCCTTCAGTTTGGCATTTAAAGGAATACACAAGCCCAATCCTACCTAATTTTTTCTTTTAAGGTTCATTTATGTCTTTTGTTTTTTCAATCACAGACATCTCTTGATCTCTTCCCTTACAATGCTAACTCTCACAAAGCTACTTTCCAAAAAAAAAAAAAGTAAACAAAACTAACTGACATTGTGACTAAATGTGACTGCATATAACACACACGGTTGCCTACTTCACTACTGAGAGGAGGGAAGGTTATTTGGTCACTGTAATTAATCTAAGTTCAATTGTCTATTAGCGTTGTTTTCAATTACATTATTATAGCATTGTATATACTACTCCACTGGTTCAACTTTCTTTCTTCTGCATCAATTCATGCAAATCTTTCTATACTTTTCTGAATTCCTTATATACAACACTTCTCAGAGTGCATTTATTCCACTATATTTATGTACCACAATTTAGTCAGTCATTCTCAATCAATGGACATCTATTTTCTTTCAGAACTTTGTTACTACAAAGAATGCTTGCTGCTATGAATATTTTGGAATATATGGGATTTGCTTTAGTTTGTGACTTCTTTTGTGTATATACCCGGTAATAGGAATTGCTCAGTCAGAAGGTCTGAACAATGTCATAATTTTTTTCAGACAACAACTAAAAGTTCTAGCAACAATACATTAATCCCACATATGTATCTAGATTTACTTTTTATTATTCCCCTTCACTGCATTCTACCTTTAGTTAAAATAGACTGTTAGCTATTTCAAAAACTCATCATTCCATCTCCTACCTCTATGTCTTTGTCTCCCTATGCCTAGAATGCATTCATTTCTAAAAGAATCCTAGCTTCCTTCAAAGCATAGATACCACTTCATACACAATGCCTTTCTTAATACTTAACCCTCAATTATTAGCACTCTTTCCATCTTATAATAACTTTGTATTATTTTGTAGATACTTTGTATTTATTAACTTGTACTCATGTTGTATTCCTCCCTACTAAAAACCTTGAAGACAGAATTGTTATAATTTTTGACTTTTTATCTCTAGTACTAAGTATTTTGCACACAGTAGGTATTTAATTAGTGTGTACTAAGTTGAATTAATGTATTTTGGACATCTCCCAATTCTTCAGATTAGGAAGCTAAAGTTATGAGAGGTTAATCAACTTGCCCAATTACAGAGCTGTGTAGTAGCAGAATACTGGTAGTAAATGAAATCTCCTAATTGATAGTTTAGTATTCTTTCTACTTTTCATGATCTCTCTATATCAGATGCCACTTTTCTGATTGGTGAAGTTATATTAGTTTAACAATGTAAAGTCAAAATGTGTCATCAATGTCAACATTATTAACTTCATGTAGGTAACTGGAAACAGACTTAAAAATTACCCATGTGATGAAGAACTCTTGGATCCATCATTTTGGCCATTTGTTGGTTCAGTTTTGCCATTTGGGATTGGCTTACATTTTTTGACATGTCACCTCCTTAAAAAAGCACAAATATTAAGTGTCTGTCAGTATGTTATATTTCTTTTCAGGTTAGATACATTTAGGATTCATCTATGTTATGATTCTAAACAACTCCTAATAACTTTTTGCTTAATTGCTTCAGTTGGTATCCCATTTTTTATGTTATTAACCTTAATTCTGTCCTTCTCAGAGGGACACAGATACACAGTAATCAGTATCATTCTGATAAAACCACTACTAACAGAACTGAATGTCTGCCTAGAGCAAAAAATATCAGGAAGTCAAGCCTCACTTTACAAAAACTTGGGAGGAAAAAATAGAAATTAAGAAGAAAAAAATGGGGCTAGAGTAAGAAGATGATAAAGTAGGCAGGATAATCATGGAAAGAATCTTTGCACATAGGTGAGATATTCGAAAACTCTTTTAGATTTCTGACAAAGTATATAAAATTATTTTGTTTGTTTTCAGAAATAAAGCTATTCTCATCATGATTCCTTTTAACGAAAAATTAACTTCATAACTGCTTCCCATTAACCTGAACTGGAAATCAGATTGTCTTCATAAATCACAGTATGTACTGTTTCTAATGGATTGAAAACTCAACTTTTCCATGTTGAAGGCTCATTCTCTCCTGCATTTTAACTTCTGATTTCCTTTTTCTCTTCTAAACTGCCCATCCTTCAAATTGATGATTAAAAATCCAATCATTGTTATTTTTCTTACCTTTGAAAAGTCCTTTGATACCACCCATCTTTTTCACCATCTGGGCAAACTTTGTATATTGTGTTAAAAGTTCCTGAACATCTCTTGTTGAGACACCGGATCCTCTTGCTACTCTTTGGATTCTGCCTGGTTGCTTACTGAAAACCTTTGCACCATCTGTACTGTCAAGTTCTGTAGAAAAGAGTTATATAATTCTACTGTCTTTCCCTATATATAACAAATATCACCCAGAAAGGAACAAAAAGGGTTATATTGTTTCACAGAGTTTTTTTCTGAACACATTAAAATTATTATTTTTTAAATGGCACTACTTGCTCTGCCCCATAATTTACTTCTTATTCATTTCTTTTGTCTATATAGCCAACAGGAAAGAGGCAGGTCTTATCTACATATTACATATTACTAAAGTGCCATTAATCAAGTCCTTACTACTAAAATAGCCTCTTTCCCTAAGAATTTATCATAATGCTATAAGTACATGTCATGCCAAGAAAACCAGAACCACTCCAATTCTCTGCCTTAGTTTTGATCAATGTGTAATTCTTAGAAAGGAACTTAAGAACAATTTTAAACCATTTCTTTTTTTCCAGTTATTCAATCAACAAGGATTTTTGTTAAACACATACTATATACAAGGCACTGTACTAAGTACTAGGGACATAAAGGAAGGCAAAAACAGTTCTTGCCCTCAAAGACCTTACATCCTAATGGAAGAAGTCACATGTAAATAAATAGGTACCTACAAGATATATGAAGAGTAGCTGGAATATAATCTTAAAGGGGAAGGCTCTAGGAGTTAAGGAGACCAGGTAAGGTATTTGGCAGAAGAGTGTTGAAGGAACTCAAGAATTCTAAGAGGTGGAGGTGAGGAAGGAGAGTGTTCTCGACTGGAGGACAGCCAAAGGCACAGAGACAGGAGATGGAGTGTAATGTGCATGGGACAGCAAGTAGGCCAGTATGACTGAATCACAAACTATGTGGAAGCAGACTGGAAAGGTAGGAAGGGGACAAGCTGTTTAGAGCTTTAAATGCCAACTAGAATATTTCATACTGATCTGGGAGGTAAAAGACAACAACTAGAGTCTACTGAATAAAAGGAGTGACATGAGTAGACCAATACTTTTTCAAAGTGAAAATATATACCACCTGTAATTTTCTACCTTACCTTGATCGTTCATACTGTCCATTATTGTCATTAGTTTTTTTAGCCTTGCCATTGACTCTTGTTCATTGCCTTTGCTCATAAAATCTGTTCCAAAACCAGGGATCATACCCTAAAATTGAAATATCAATTGCTTTAATCCCATATGATGTAAAGCAGAACATAACATTTAAATACACATAAGGGTATTTTAATATTACCACATTTGTCTAGCTTAGAATGTTAGCTGTTATTTTGATTTTAAAATAAAATGTCTGACATCCCCATACAACTGTCAAAAGCAGTTACAATAAGGAGGCACAGTATTAAAAACATTTCTGTGGATCTCAAACAAAGGGAAAGAGTCTTAAGATAACTTACCAATATTTGACTGAATGGGCCCATTTTCATAATATTTTGGAATTGTTCATACATATCTCTCAATGTAAACTGACCTGAAATAAAATACAAACAAGTCAGGTAAAATAAAGAAATATTTGATAAAAATCTAAACCATAAATACAGACTTTTCTTAAGAACTTAAACTCATAATTCTTTATCCATCTGATTAATATTAAGCTAGATATTGTGCTAGATGCCACAGGAGATATAATAAATGAGAATAGGTTCTCTACATTATATGAGCTCACAGGAGATGAAATAAGTATATGCCAAATAAAACTCTGCCATTAGCCTGCCTGCCTGTCATGGGAGAAGATAACACCATGATGATTAAGGGAAGGAAAAGGTCAGAGATATTAGTAAATGAGAAGCAGAATAAGAATGGGCCTTGGCACCTTGGCATATCTTTAAGTAGAGGAATGAGAGAGGCCAAGAAACTAGAAGGAAGAGGGCCAAGTCCATATATCCTGCTTTTTCCAATGACCTCAGGGCCAGACTTGAAAAATTTAGAATAATCTAAGGGGTAAAGAAACCAACTGCTTACTATTCTATCTTATCCCAACCCTTGACAAAAAAAAAAATAAATTCTCTCACTTGTCCTTTACAACCCGAAATACTTTTTAACAGGTGATAAAGTCTTTCTTTTCATAAATAAACATAAAAGGACTTACAAGCTGGCTTCATTTATTACTTCCTAATGATGAACAAAAAGGAGATATGCAGAAAATTACTTCATATCTTAATATGGCCAGGCATAGATATACTTTAGCAGAATTTCTGGCTGGAAATGGTTCAAGATTAGGTATTATGAGATGTATCAAGTACATAAGTAGGTTTTGATAGGTGAATATTGGGACAGTAGCATTTCAGGAAGAGAAAAGAGAATGAACAAAAGCAGAGGCATTAAATCATAGGCTTAGTGCAAAGAGATGATGACTAAACCAGTTTGGCCAATGAGAAAAGTTCACATAGGAGAGTAGGGTAATGAGACTGGAAAAGTAGATGTGGGCCAGACTAACAGATTATTTTGTAAGCCATTTGAAGTATTAAACAACTGTTAAGCAAGAAAGAGATATGGCCAACAACTTCTTTTGGAATGATTAATCTGACAGGGACAGCCAGGAAAGAATGGAAGTGAGATAGAACTACTGCAACAGTACCTCATGAAAGATTAAGAGACTGAACTACAATGGCCATAGGAGAAATAGAAAAGTATCAGGTATATAATGTAGAAAAGAAATAGTCAAATATGAAGCCAAGGCTCTGTGGCTGGGCAAATGGAAGAACAGGAGAACTAATGACAGAAATAAGGTTGTGAAGAAGAACCGACTTTGAAAGTATAAGAATATAGGTTAAGGGTGGGGAAAAAAAATTCTACACACACACACAGAGCCCCAAAAGTCTTAAGACTGCACTAAGACTTTTGAAATAGCGTGTGTGTGTGTGTGTGTGTGTGTGTGTGTGTGTGTGTGTGGCATCCTAACAGAAGTAATAATACCACAGGGCTGGAAAGATCTCTGAAGGATGCTCACCATTTAGGAGTAGAAAGACAAAGAGAAGCAAGTTAGGGAGATAAAACCTTCAGTAACTCCCTTCTTGGATAACATGAAAACCTGGCATTCTTAACAGGCATTTAAAGCCATCCACAGTCTGATTCTAACCCACCTTTCCACTCTTATTTAACAATACTTCCCATCATACATTCTATCATAAAGCCAAACAAGCCTTCTAGCTCCTCCCTAAATGTGGCATTTGTGTGTATTTATAATTCCAAATAAGAATAATACCTATCAGAAATTCTTTCTTAGTCATGAGACCTTAACCCTGTAAAGCTTAGTTCCTTCTACAAATGACTTATCTGTATAGATGGGTATACTTATATCCTCCATCTCCTTAGCATAGTAGAATGTAAGGTCCTAAAGGTCACCAAACAAAGTACCTTTAAACAATGTCAAATGTAGTGGAAAAATCAAGGAAAATCTGATAGGGCATTCAAGTGATGATTTAGACCTTTAAGGTCAGCAGTAGTGGAGGCAAAGGCTAAATTGAGGAGTGTTAAATAGTTGAAGAGATAAAAGCAGCTGGCATAGACTTTAGTAGTTAGAGTCAGGACATCAGGATTTTTCCCTAGAACCTAGAAGGTTCTTCCCTACCCCCCCCAAAAAAAAAACTCCCCCTAAAACTGTGCATGTCAAGAGGCACTTTTGCCTAAAAGTGAAAATTAGAAAAAAAAAAGCAAGACCTATTCAGCAAGACCTGCTAGGAAACAGATGTTTAATATGCAGTTTAATTTAAAAAAAAAAAGATTTAAACAAGTATCTTATGTTAAATGTCACAAAAAGGTCCAAAAAATAATAACTGACACAAAAGAAATAATCTTATCATTAAAATATAGAGGAAAATAAGTAGTAGTATCTTTAATAACTATGACTACAGGGAGAATTCTCACCAAACAAGGGATAAAGGTAATCATAAAAAGTAAAACAGACAATTTGATTAGATGAAATTGAAAAGCTTTTGCACAAACAAAATTAATGCATCTATGATAAGAAGGAATATTGCCAACTGGAGGAAAATCTTTACATCAAATATCTCATAAAAACCTGATATGCAAGATACATCGGAAAATGACATAAATATATAATACCAAGAGTCATAACCTAATAAATAAGTGGCCAAAAGATGGGAACAGCTCTCAAAAGAAGAAATGCAAACTAATAACAATCTTAGGAAAAATTATTCTAAATCAGGGCTTCTTAAACTTTTCCTACTTGTGACCCCTTTTTGCCAGAGAAATTTTTATGTGACCTCAGGTATATAGATACATAAATCAAACATTTACTGACAATAAATCATAAAGAAATTTATTTTAAAACAATTCTTTGGTATATATATAATTTTATCATTTATTAAAGATTAAAGCAAATTTGCATATTAATGAGATGGGTGTGCTTGTTTATTTTTACATAAAGAATTAAATCTTGGTGGTATATTTGAAACTAATATTTTGGTCATTGCACATTTAGAAACCTTTTACTGTTGCCAAATTTTTCATGACTCCCACATTCAGTTACAAGACCCTAACCCATAGTTTAAAAAGCACTGTTCTAAATCATTAACTAGAAAAATTAGGATTAAAATAACTCTCATGTCACATCACATACCCCTTAAATTGGCAAAGATATCAAAAGATGGAAATAGTCAGAGGGGGTGGGGAAAGACAAAGATACTAATATACTGTTGGTGGAGGTGTGAAATCGTCCAATCATCCTGGAAAACAATTTGAAATCATATGAGAAAAATGACTTAACTGTTTACATCTCGTGATCCAAAGATCCCACTGCTAGGATCATGTCACTAAAAAGTTCAACAGGAAATAGAAAGGTCCTGTATAAATCAAAATCTTCATTGGAGAGCTTTTTGTAATGGGCAAAGAATTAGAAACAAAGCAAGTTCCCACACTGGGGAATGGCCAGGCGTGCATAATATTATTATATAATATTGTATATTATATAATAATATATATAATTGATTTACATGTAAGAAACAAAGAACATGAGTAATTCATAGAAACATGGGAAGACTTGTATGAACTGATGCAAAATGAAATAAGTAGGACCAAAAAAACACCCAAATCCCGTATGCAATAACTACAATAATGTAAAGAACCAATAAAATGAAGTCAAATGTTATGGAAGATGAGGAAACAAAAGCACTACTGTACTTTTATTGGAGAAGTTGGGAACTAGGGGTATGGAATGTCTTATATACTGCCAAACTCAGCTCTAGTGTTGAATCGTTTTATTTAATTGGGGAAAGGGAGAGAATAACTGTGAATGGTTGTCATATAAAAACAAAAGGCATCGATAATACTTAAAAAATGAAAGCAGTTATTTTGAGAAATTCATAGGAAAATGAAATTCTGTATTTTTATCTTGAGGAAAATAAACTGGAAATAATTTTTTTAGTTGGAGGAATAAAAACAATTTAGAAATCCAAACTGCCCATAGATTTAAGAATACAAATGACTCCAAAATAATGTTACTTAATATTAATTTTTCATACTAGTACATAGCTCTGTGAAACATTCAATAAGCTAGATGTCAAATTAATTTTTGAAACTGGCATACCATGTTTCAACTTTTCTATAAGTGCTTCATTGTCATCCAACTTCAATTCATTGACTTTATCTATTAGTCCTTCAATATCACCCATACCTAGAAAAACAAAAAACTATATTTAAATTCAGTAAGACAAGCGCCAGGCTTATTTATTTTCCAGAGCACAGAAAGCATTCTTTTAAACTAACAAAAGAAGGCTTTTAAACTTTCAAAGTGCTTTCACTTCACACTTTTACTGAGAAGTAGCTCAAGTGGCTACTATATTCCTCATTTTATAGAAGAAAACACTGAAGCAAAGAAATTGAATAACTTGCTTGAGATGACATATCTATTTAATGTCAAAGTTGGAACTAGAACCTAGGTCTCTTGATGCACAGTTCTGTGCTATTTCCATTTTGCTTCTCCCCACCACAGATCATACCAAGAAGTTTGCTGATAAAAGGCTGTGTTTTAAAAGGTTCAAAGTCATCTATATGCTCGCCAGTACCAATGAAAATTATTGGACTTTTTGTGGCAGCAACTCTGCAAAGAAATACAAAACATAAGACAATCTCAGAAAAGGGAAACAATATTAGAAATTAAACAGTAATCTCTAGTATACTCCTCCTACTAAAAATACACTATTTGATTTCAAGAAAACAAATGAAAAGTAATTTATAAAGTCTATAAAAATAGTTCATGTCTAGTTAAACTATCACATATAATATCAGACCTAATATTTCAGTAATTTGATTGAAAGAAAATATAATCCAGCTGGAAGGCAGCAAATGAATTTCATTTAACATGTAAAACTGTGTCCTTGTTCTGAAGACTACAGAAAATTGGAACAGGCCACCTCAACTCAATATTCCAATGAGAGGACTGGCCATGTTCCCTCATATAAAATGTGTAGTGTTTGTGTCATCACATCTCAAAATACTAGATTATAGGGACATACTGAATTCTTGTAAAAGCCTATTCAATGGTAAAGACTCATCATAATCCAAATCAGAAGTTAAAAGTTAATTATGTTCTTATCACTAAAAGGGGAATAAAAACATTTATTTACAAAGATCATATTTCAATATCTGCCAACCCTTTTCTGCAGAAATCTAATAGCTCTGTCATACTCATTCAATAAAACATGTGGATTCCTAGATATTCCTAACAATAGGAAACTAATATAACATGTAGATGAACTTTCAATATACTTAATAGACTATTGTATTTTCTTGAGAGTATATAAGAAATTTATGAGGAGTAATATCCCTAAAACACAAAAGTTCCATGTTTGAAAAATAAATGCTGAAGTTACAAAAAATTACAAATGGTTATAATTATTCAAATGAATGGTTTTGTGTCATCTAAGCTATGGCAATATCATTATTCTAGTAAGTAAAGCCATAAAGTAAACATGTGAAATGAAGCTTATGTCTCAATTATGGCTTTCCAGTTCATATACAATTTGATTTTAATTATCCCTTAGTGGTATACATACTAATTTTTCAGAAGGAAGGAAAGGAGGTAAGGAAGGAGGGAAGGAGGGAGGGAGGGAGGAAGGAAAGAAGGAAATTTTGCCTGATCTAAGGCCTAATTTTTTTGAACAAAAATGTAAAAAGTGATGCCTATATCATTTTGAAAACATTTTAAAATTTTAACTTGATAAAGTTATAAATAACCCTAACATTAGTATTTCCAATACTTACGCACTAAGTGCACCACCACCTTTTGCATGGCCGTCAAGTTTCGTCACAATTACAGAGGCTACATCTACTTTGTCTTTGAAAGCCTTAGCTTGTGCTTCACAAGCCTGACCAATGGAGGCATCCATTACATAAACAATGTTATCAGGTTGCTAGAACATTTGAATGGAAAAATTGCAAATTTTCATTAATAATTTTTCAAACAAAAACATTTTAAACAATTTATACAAAAATAATCTTTAACTGAAATAATCAAAACAAAAAACAAACAAAGCCATGAAGATACCTGTATGATCAATATGTGATTACCTAGGATCGGGGTGGGGAACCTGCAGCATTAAGGCCACATGTGGCCTTCTAGGGTCTTAAGTGCAGCCTTTTGACAGAACCAAAATTTTACAGAAAAAAACCTTTTATTTTTATTAATACATTTTTGTCTTTTATATTTTATTTTTAAAATGAACGCATTTAAAATACCAAAGAACAGAAAAAGTTACAATGAAATAATCCTCCCAGATTGACTAGCACAGTTAGAACCCTAGTAAGGCATAAGGCTAAATTGATGGCTGCTACACTCATTATTTAGTTCTAACTTCCCCTGCCTGACTGGTACCACTACCACACGAGGCTGGTTGGTGAGAGTTTATGGGGATTGAGTAGGCTAGTCTGTTATCAACTTTTGACAACAGTGCACTGTGTTTCTATCTGAAGTGGAATTCGTAAATAGTTGTACAGCTTGACAGTATTTTTTAATTCTATCTGCCTAACAGTTCATCATGTCAAAGAACAGCATGAGAATGCTGAAGGAAGAAAACAGATTTTTTAATGAAAACTGGGAATTGCAATATTATCTTGTTTCTGCTAAAGATAAGATGATTTGCTTGCTTTGTGACACTGCAATATCAACATTAAGGAAATTCAGTGCTCATCAGCATTATAACACACCGAAGGACCACAAATATTTTAAACTGGAGGGAGACACATGAAAGGTTGTACTGCAAAAATTAAAAGATGAAAAACAAAAGCAAAGACAATTCTTTAAAGCAGCAATAAGACCCGGAACTAATGCCACTGAAGCAACTTATAAAGTAGCTTATATACCTGGGAAAAAAGGGAAGCCATTCAGTGATGCAGAAATTGTGAAAGAATGCATTGTTGAAGTTGGAGGATGCTTTAGGCCCCAATAACATTTCAAAGTACAAACAACTACCTTTTGCAAAGAGAACCATAATTGATCAGCAGCATGAATTAGCCTTCAACTTAACAGAACAACTTCATGCAATACTTCAAAAGGAAAATATATACTATTCAGTTGCTTTGGATGAATCAACTTATACTACTTACTTGGCATAGGTTTTATACTTCATTTGGGTCATAACAGAAGATTTTCTTTGCTACAAAGAGTTACTCATTTTAGGCACTCTTGTGAAAAGAACAGAGGGAACAGACATCATCAACAACTTTCAAGATAAATGTCATGAAATTGGACTGATTTTGGTAAATTTAATGAGTTTATGTGCAGACAGCACACCTTCCACGACAGGAAAACATGAAGAGTATATTGCACAGATAAAATATTAACAGGTCCAAATGCTCTCATTTCTTTTCTTTGTATCTTACATCAGCAAAATCTCTGTGCTGGGCTTTTTTTTTTTTTTAAGGCAATTGGGGTTAAGTGACTTGCCCAGGATCACACAGCTAGTGTCACGCATTTGGTCTGAGGTCACATTTGAACTCAGGTCCTCCTGAATTCAGGGCCAGTTCTCTATCCACTGAGTCACTTAGCTGCCCCAAAATCTCTGTGCTAAAGTTACTGTTTTACATGACACTTTGCAACAAGTTATAAGTATCGTTAACTATATTTGTGCAAGTACAACACGGCATCATCACTGTCATAACATGCTGAAGCTGAATGATGAAATATTCAGTGTGGATTTACTGTAAGATTATAATTTAGAATCTTATACAGATAAGTGCTGGCTTATCACAGGGACAAGTGTTAACCAAAATTTTATCTCTATGAGAATAGATAGTTAAATTTTATGAAGAACAGAATCAGCAATGTGAATTATTGAAAGCATATTTCTATAGGAATGCTGCATTTGTGTGATATAATGTCAAATCAAAATGACTTGAATATTCCTTTGCAAGGTAAAACTTTTATCTATATATGATATGTGGCAAAAAATCCAAGCATTTGGAAAAGAGCTATCTTTTTCCAAAACACTTCCTCAAAAGGAAATTTTAGATGAACATTTTCCCCAGTTAGTAAATGTCACTGATAAGCAGGATGATATATATGAATCATTTGAAGAATACGTAGGTGTTATAGACCTATTAATTGGAGAATACTATGTAAGGTTCACTGACTTTGAGAATCATGACATCACACTCAAAATAGCATTTCAGTCTCACCTAGCTGATATTACCAAGGTACCTAAAGAACCACAGATGGAACTAACTGAGTTCTCAGTAGATAACATTTAAAAGTCATTGCTTGATGCTAAGAAAGATCCAATTGAAATATGGAAAAATGAAGTAGAACAGCCACACCTCTGGCAACATACCTGAAAAATGCTTTCTTGCTTTTCAACCACTCATTGCCGTGAATCTATATTCTCCTACCTAACCCAAACTGAGACTCCCATAAGGACACAAATGACTGCTACCCATCTAGAGGATCAACTGAAATTGCAGATCTCCATGCTGCAACCAAATGTTTAAATGCTTTCCAACAAAAAGCAGATGAAGTCATTAAAAGGTCAGTTAACTTTAAAATGAACAGTTTTCATTTTTCGAAATTATTAAGTACATAGTAGATTTTTACAAAATAACGTACATTTTAAAGTGCAACTAATTAAAGTTTCTTGAATGCAGCCTTATTTGATTACAGCTAAATATTAATGCAGCCTTCCAACATGAAAAGGTTCTCTCCCCTTGACCTAGGACATATTCCCCACATCTATCCCAACTAGATAAAAACATAAGTATGGGCAGATAATGATTCTGTGCTCCCATCAGCACCAAACCAAAATAAAGACTACAGTGTGAGACACTGCCAGTCTCATAATATTGATGCTTAACAGGGTATTGACTTATGCTAATATACTATGTGTAGAAAATAACCCCATAAAATTGGTTTAAGCAGGTATACTATGTCCATCTCCACCTTCTTAATCATAATTAAAATGCAAAGATCTGTTTTGAAAGGCTTTCAAAATTCACTGATAAGTAAATTCCTCTAAGTGTATTTAAATAATTTACAAGTTACAAAATTAAATATCAAGCCCAAATAGTCAACAACTTAATACAAAAGTGTTCTGGTTATGTTTTTGATTTTCTCATATGTACATAGGAATAAAAATGCTATGAAGGAGAAAGATAAGAAACGATCACAAAATGTACTTGTATTTCCAAATTATGCATTTGACAGAGAACAAAATGAATGAAAGGATAAGGCTTTACCAAATAGTAAAAGTGTATGCATTAAAAAAATTATCTGAATTCATTTTTATTGAAGACTAGCTAGGTAAAATGCTTGGCATATCATAATTAGTACCACACCATACCACAATAGTAAATTAAATAACTTAAAGAAAGGGACTTACTATAGCATTAGCTACTTGCAACATTTCTTCAAACAAAGAATCTTCTTGTTTATGACGGCCACTTGTATCAACAATAATAATTTCAAAGTTCTCGTTTTTGAATTTTTCCACACCTTCAGAGGCAATGATCACAGGGTCCATTTCTGTATAGCTATTCAACAGGAACAAGTAAGCCCAAACAAACAAAAATCACTTTCAAATAACAAACTCAGATATCTTTACCTTGTAAATCATACCTTATAAGCTTCAATTCTGGACAAATTCCCTAATTGCAGAATTCCCTTTGGAAGAAACATGATCTAAATTGTTTAAAATTTTGCAATATGATTCTTGAAATCTGTGAGTTGTCCAGTTTTCCAATGATAAGATTTATATTTTTAAATTAAATTTTATTTTATTTTCAGTTTCTGAAATTCCCTTATTACCACATTCCTTCTGCCCCACATTGAGAAAGCAAGAAAAACAAAGTTCATTATAAATGTGTATATTCAAGCAAAAAAAAATCTAGCATTAGCCATGTCCAGAAAATAGCCACAAAAAAAGCCTCAATCTGTACCATGAATCCTTTGCCTCTCTAGGTAGGTAGCCTGTGCTTGATACTTGTGACTGCCTGTTTATATACAGACATACACATACACACACACAAATGAGCTAACATTTCTAAAGCACTTTGAAAACCTTACAGCATTATATAAATAGTGACTTTTTCATGTGTATATGTGTATGACATGCTTCCCTAAAAGGTTTTTGGGCCTCTGCAATATGTTGATTGGATCTATGATCTCCTCTAATGAAAAAACAAAACAAAACACAGTTCATCCATAGTTTCTCATTCTGTTCTGTCCATAAACCAAAGAGGCTTTGATATACAAAGTGCCTTTTTCTAGACACAGACTGGAAACCAGTGGAATAAGAGGGCTATCAATTATCTCTGATATTGCTACATGAACATACAACCTTTTTTCTGGTCACACATACATTCCTCTGATGACATTCTTCATTTAAACTGTCCTTCAAAATTCTTTATGGGTTATATGCTGTAGTCTCCACACAGCCACCATCTTCATTGCCCTTTTGATGGCCTATACCCTTAATTCTTTAGAGACTGTGATATTCCATCATTTGCAATGATATAGTACCACTGGAAGATGATTGATATTAAGGCTAGTGAAGTAAAAGATAGGTCTTTCTTTCAGGGAGAGGCTTGACTCATTAAAAACAATGAGAATCCAGTCCTTTTCTCCTGCTGCTCAACTCAGAGCCCAGTTTGCTCTTCATCTAATCTCTGTCCAAGAGAGAGATAATGATGACCAGCTCTATAGGCTATCTTACTGCATATCAGTATGGACAAGTATTTGTCAAGCTCTTGATTTTTCCTGTGTAGTTAGGCTGAACTCTTTTGAACAACCATAGGAGGCTCTGTGAAGGTCTGAAGCTTGATGCAATCAAAATAATGTCATAATAATAATAGCTAACATTTATATAGGGCTTACTATGTTTCTAGAATTGTGCTATATGCTTTACAATTATTATCTCATTTCATCCTCACAACAACCCTGCAAGGTATTATCCCCATTATTATTATTATCCCCATTTTACAGATTAGAAATCTGAGAAAAACAGAGGTTAAGTGACTTGCCTGGAGTCACACAGCTAGTAAGTGTCTGAAGCTGGATTTGAACTCATATCGTCTTAACTCTAGGTCCCCTGTGCACCGCTCTACCTAAAGGAGCATTTTCAAGAATGCACCATCTATGCAATTCCTCCTGCTATTCAAACTTTGGGCTGGATATAACCTATGATGCCAAACAATAGCAGCAAGTAATAACATCTCCTTCTTTTGTGTCTTCCTTGATGATAATCACAGAGGTACAGAACAAGGTTCTCATTATCATATCTTTCAAGGAATCTTGTATGATTCTGACACATGCATAAGAGGGTAGTCTTTAAGGCTGCATTTTGCTCTATCAGATCAAATTTTTTTTTTACAGTCAACAAAAAACAAACCGTGGGATCATGTATTCTTTTTACCTTTCAATCAATTATGAAATTATGGAAGTGGTGGTTTGCTATAGAATATTCTCTGTAACACTCATTCTGTTCCTTTTTCACACATTCATCAAGGAGGCCCTTGATACACATATAATTATCCTCGAAGACTTTGTAAAGATGGGAAAGTAGACATGTGAGTGAGAGCTATTTATATTTTCCCAATTGTTTTCTGGTAAAAATAATGGATGTGATTCCCCCCCATCCCAACCATGTGTTTGCATCCACCTTTCTTTCTGACATCTGGAGAATTAACTGCTGAATACTTGGTCTAGTCTTGCTGCTCTTCCTATCTTTTTTTTTTATAGTACTATTTCTATTTCCTCACACAACATGTTGGGGGCTGTAAAAGAGTCTGAATATGTGTGTACACGCAAAACCCATACACATAAATATACATACATTCACAAAAAACCTAAAGAAAACAAACATAAAGTAATGAGGGGTACACAGGTACAAGTAGTTGGGAAAATTATGAAGCTCACATAATGAGCTGAATTTTGAAGGAAACAAGGGATTCTACAAGGTGGAAGTTAAGAGGAATACATAATATCAAAGTTAAAGGACACATCCTTCTTTCCTAGTAATAACTGATAAACTGTTTTGTGAAACATTCTTTGTAAGGTGTTTTATTGGAAAGTGTTGTATAAAAACAAATTATACACATATACACACAAAAAAACAGTTGCATTAAAACAAAATTAAGTTTCACTTCCACAGGTTTACTTCCTGAATGAAGTAAACCATTTTTTGAAGGCCTAAAATTAATTTGTTAATCCCTCAAATAGAGAATTGCTAAAAAGGGCTTCTAATGCAATTATAATTCTTTTGTTTATTCACTCAGGAAAAATTACTTATAGTATGGTTGTGTTGTGCAGAATATCACAGGAGACAAAATCAAGATCTGTACTCTTAAATTTACAATTTAGATGCGGATACAACACATGAAATGTTTCATAGAATTCATTCCTTCAAAAGGCATTGTATTAAAATACAAGCAAGTTCATGAGATCACATATCACAGATTTAGGCCCATAAAAGAACTTAGCTCCATGAAATTGAAGCCAATTGAGGTTAAGGTTTTATCCAGGGTCAAATCCATAGTACGTCACAGAGCCAGAATTTGAATGAAGTTCTCTAACTCATAAATCCAGCAATCTTTGCACTATACTACATTAACTTCTTGTGATTAAACAACACAAAGTGTATGTAGCATCATAATACTGCTTCCTGATGGAAGCTATCAAATGGTTAAGACTGAAGAATGGAATTGAGAAGGATGACACCTGGATAAACTATGTCACCAGAGAAGCACCACATGAATAGCTGAGATAAGTAGATTTGTTTATGGAAGTGTAAGAGTTTATGATAACAATTCAGGACTGTACTCACTGCCACCAGAAAGTACAGAATACTTAAAGAGCCAGACTCAGTGATCAATGTAGATTTTGGAGGGTAGTGTTAGGAAATGTTCAGTATATCACTACAGATGCAAAAATTTAGCTCCTACCAAATATTTAGTAGTAAGACATGATCTGGTGGCTAGAATTATACATCAGAAGGTTGCTATCTTTCATGAACTTATTGATGACAACTGAACTAATAAGTCATAGGTAAATATGATCACTGTACAGAACTGTTGCCCACAATTACCTGAACATAAAAGTGATTCACAGAAACTTAAGAATAGCATTTTTAAGAAATGTCATTATATTAAATACACAAAACCTCCCAAACTACAAGGAATTAGAAGCTTTCAAGACCTTCCAAGAGGAGATTAAAATCAAGTAGGAGCAGGATGACAAGAACACCATCCCTGCTGAACCATCTGCTACTAAGATTATAGCAAGGATGAACTTATAGTCTAATATTTTAACTCAAATATAAAAAGCAGGTACACTAAATATAAAAAAAATAGCAAGATAACAACTTGTCCCAGCATCATTTGTATTTGAATTCCACTGAACAAAATGAGAACAAGATGAAGAATAAAAACACCACTACCATTAAAGAAATAGAAAGTACAGGGAGTAATAATCAGCTAGTCCAGGAATGGGGAACCTGCGGCCTTGAGGCCATATGTGGCCCTCTAGGTCCTCAACTGCGGCTCTATGACTGAATCCAAACTTCACAGAACAAATCCCCTTAATAAAAGGATTTTTTCTGTAAAACTCGGACTCAGTCAAAGGGCTGTACTTGAGGACCTAGAGGGCTACATGTGGCCTTGAGGCCACAGGCTCCCCACACCTTGAGCCAGCCTCTTAAGACCTGAGCTGGTTCTTAAAGGAAGGTAAAAGAAGGTAGAAAGGAGGCATAGGAAAACATTCTAGGAAAGAACAACATGAGCAAAAGTGTAAGGAAAATGTGTACATAATAACTCAACAGGCTGTTGATGAGGGACAACTTTAACCAGGGACAGGGCTTAATAAATAGGAAAAAAGTAAACAAAAAACTAAAACAGAAACATACCTTCCATAAAATGGAATTCTTGCTTTGGTAGCATTCTGTTTTAGCTGGTCAAAAGCTCCTATAAGACAAAGAATTAATGAATCTTTTGAAATATGTATATACAATTTATAAAAATTAATTTGAAATGGTGACACATTACCTGCTCTGAATGTGTCTGCACATATCAAACAAGTCTTCCAACCTTTTCTCTGGTAATAATAGGCTAACTGTCAAAAGGAGAGTCAAAACATGTTAACTACTATCATCTAGTTTTACGTGTTTAAGATTTTTTTTACATTAACATTTTATTTTCTATTATAAAACTAGTAAAGTGAAACCAGTTTAAGGAAACTGTATTTCCTTCCTAAAAATTAATCTTTTTGATTGGTGATATATGAATACAAGTCATCTCCTAAATAGATTTCACTACCTATTTGTATTATCATATTAGAGGCAGAGAGGTGGAATAGTGGAGTAAGCAAAAGACTTGGAGTCAGGGAGACTGAAGTTTATATTCTGCCTCAGACACTTGCCAACTGTGTGACTCTGGGCACGTCATTTAATGTCTGCCTGCCTCAGATTCCTCATCCTCATCAATAGGGATAATAACAGCACCTAGCTCTCAGGGTCATTGCATAAGCAGACTGAGAATACCTGAGGTGTCAGGAAGGATATGAAAGGTCTTTACATCCAATGTTAAAAGGATAAAATCATCTTTTTATGTTAATAGAATTGACGTATACATATTACTTTATGCTTACAAAAAACTTTACATACATTATTTAATTTGATTTTTCATAATGATGAAATATTGTAGGTATTATAATAATACAGAATATCAGAGTTAAATAAGAATAGCTAGCATTTAGTGTTTTAAGGGCTGAAATGCACTTTACACATATTATCTTATTTTAAACCTCACAACCACCCCAGGAGGTAGGTGCCATTATTATCCCCATTTCACAGATAAGGAAACCAAAGTAGACAGACATTAGATGACTTGCCCAGAATCACACAGCTAATAAATATCTGAGGTCACATTGAATTCAGATCTTCCTGACTCTAGCTCTGACACTTTGTCCCCACTGTACCATCTAGTTGCCTTTGAGGATTATGATAACCCACATTTATATAAGCTTCAATTTTACAAACATTTTCTTCAACAACTCTGTGAATTAGATATTAATATTATATCACCATTTTATAGATATGTAAACAAAGTATCAAGGAAGTCAACTGACTTCGACTGATCACACTGCTACTCACAGACACTCAAACCCACTATGTCTTCTAACTCCAAATCCAGTGCTTTTATTCCCCTTCTATATCAAGGTTGCCCCTTTAAAGGCAAAAAATGAGGCTAGTTATAGGCAGGACCTCTCATTTTGAAAGTAAAATATTTAAACAACAAAAAAGGGGTTTTGTCTGTTCAGACAAGCAAATGGGAGTCCTATGAGAATATAAGATTCAGACATTACTGCTGGAGGTCAGGATAGTTAAGAAAAAACTCAGCCAAAGATAAGTGAGCAAGTGCACAGAAAACTCTTAATTTTCATGGAATAATAAATATTTTTTATGTCTGATGCTGATTTGATAGGTCCTTTAAGAAAACTGGACTTGTAGTAAAGTTAAAGTACTGTTTTTTACATAATGCACTACAATACTTTAAGGATTTGTGATTTTATGGGAGGGGAGAGAAATATTCCTCACTAATAAAAGAACATAACCTTTCCAACATCTGAATAGATGGTCTTTAATGAATCGCTTTTTGGGGGGACATCTTTTGATGGCAAGTTTCTCCCAATTCATGTGGCTTGCCCACTGGCTAACAGACACAGAAAGTTAGCTTGGTAGTATCTTCTAAGCCTTGTGTTTTATTGGCAAGCCCTTCAAGAAAACAGGGTCAGCTCCACACCAAAATGAGGCTTCAAAGTAGGAGTAACAGCATCAAAACTATTCATTGTCCCTATGACCGACCAGTGGTAATTTATATTATTACTCTCCATGCCAACTTTCAAATGTTATTTAAAATAAAAATAGAAATCTTAGGAAAATAATCAAATTTACCACAATCTAGACAAACACTCCTATATAAAGCAAATCTAAGAAAAGATGAAATTCTTATTCCTGCATTGCACAGGCTAGAAAAACAGGATCACGACATGAAGACATATAAGTCAAATAGGTAAATTTATTGAAATACAAGTTAATAGGTGAAAATAAGGACTGGCTTTTATAAAAGACAATTTTTTAGAACATCTCTCTAGATGGCATTGTAAAAGTATTTGATATAATTTACCTTGGAACATGTCGTGGTTTTACCACTACCCTGCAACCCAACAAACATAATAACATTCGATTTCCCTTTGGTTGGTGTCCAGGCTTTAACTCCAGGGTCTACGAGCTGCATAAAGAAAATCAGGTTAACACACACTGAAATTAAAAGATTACAAAAGAAGCAAATATGTTACAATTAAGCTCAGATACCCCCTTTCTTTAATTTTCTCAATATGAGTTAATTAGCTTTGAGCTCTTCAAAAGAACTTATTAGCTGACTCAATTATTTCTGAGCTGATAACACAGATTATCACTCTTTTGCTACTTAAGATTATAAGACTAAAAGTTGTTCAAACTATTTTATATTTATATAGCATGTTTTCAAAAGTTTAATGCTGTAATTATCCAAATAAAAATATCTTCAATATTCAATCAACCAATAAGTATTAAGTATCTACTTTGAGCCAGATGATATTGTAGGTAGTGGTGATTCAAGTACAAAGAACAAAATAATCTCTACTTGCAAAGAGCTTATATTCTGACAGGGGATACAAGAGTGAGTGATGTGTGTGTGTGAGTGTGTGTGCACACGTGCACCTGTGTATAATTACATAAAAGGCAATTATAAAATGAATAAGTATAAATACATACAAAGTAGTCTGAAAGGATACTAGTAGCTGAGAGGTTCAGGAAAGACAATGCAGAAGATGATACTTGAACTGCAACTTAAAAGAAGGGATTTTATGAAGACGATGTAATTAGGGAGTTCATCCCAGGCATGGGGGACAGCTGATAAAAAGTCAGAGATGGGAAAGAGAGCTTCCCGTGTGAGGAACAAAGAGAAGGCCAGTTTTGATGGATGGAAGAGTGCTGGAAGATGAGTAATGTTCAATGCGGCTAAAAAGATGGGCTAGGACCATGCTGTGTAGGACTATAAAAGCTAAAAGGGGAATTTATATATGATCCTAGAGGCAACAGGGACAACAGGGAACCACTAGAATTGACTGAATAGGGGAGTGGCCAGATCTACACTTGAAGAAAATTACTGTGCAAAAAGTGTGTAGGATGAACACAAATACTAAGAGAATCAAGGTAGTAAGACCAATTATGAAGCTGCTGTAATAGTCTAGGTAAGAGTTGATGAGGGCGTGAACTGAGATGGTGGCCATGTGAGGAGAGAGAAGGGATTATATGTGACATGTGTTTTGAAAATAGATGTGGCAGGATTTGAGTTCTGACTGGATATTTGAGTAAAGGAAAGTGAAGAGTCTGGTATGTTGCTGAGATTACAAAGGTGGGAGGACAGAATAGTTGTGTCCTTGACATAAATAGGAAAATTTGATAGAGGGTGGATGGTATGGGGGGAAAAATTAACTTTCTTTTAGACATGCTGGGTTTGAGATATGTCTGAAACATGTCAAAGTCTGAAATGTCTAAGAAATAGCTAGTAATGTGGGACTGGAAATCTAGAAAGACTAGGGCTAGATATATAATTGTGAAGTCATCTGCATAGAAATGATTAAATCTATAGGAACTGATGAGGTCACAGCTAAGAAGAATAGAAAAGGAAGAGAAGAAGGACCAAGAGAGAATGCTGCAGAGAGGTCAAGAAACATGAAGCCTGAGAAAAGACCTTCAGATTTGGTAATTAATTAAAATTTGGCACCAGTAATTTAGCAATTACTGATAATCTCGTAGTGAGCAATTTTATTTGAGTGATTAGGTCAAAAGCTAGATTGCACAGGGTTAAGGAATGAGTAAAAGGAGAGGAAGCAGAATGCAGAAAACTTTCAAGGACTTATAATAAAATGATGACTTGAGGGGATGGTTGAGTCAACCCATAATTTTTTTTAAGGGTAGTGGAGATTTGGGCATGTTTGAAGGCAGTGGGTAAGAATTTAGTTAATAAGGAAAGATTAAAAATTCATTAAAGATTGAGGATGAGTGAAGATACAATCCACTGGAGAAGATGAAAGGGGACAGGGTCAAATGTAAATGAAGGGGAGCTGGCTTTGGCAAGGAGAAGGGCTACCTCTTTGACAAAGACAGGAAGAAAAGAAGAGGTTAGCTAAGGAATAGAGTAAACCTATACAAGTAGACTTTTCTCAGTTCTAGATAAGATAGCTCCTCTCTTCAGTCAGTCCCATTAAAGCTCAATGGTTGTGATTCTACAATCCATTCTGCTTCAAATCCTATCACTGAGGCATGCTGTCCTCATCAAGTTCCTGCTAATGACTTAATTCCCCACTAATACGCTTCCTAAATTTTGTTTCCCTCACTTATTACTGCTCCCCCTACATTGAAAAATTATTTTCTTATGTACATATATGTTATCTGCTCCCAGAAGAACCTTAGTTCCTCAAGGATAAGGGCTATTTTACTTTTCATGTCCAATGCTTAGCATATAGTAAGCACTTAAGAAATGATGGATGAATTGAACAACTCAATTCAACCCACATTTATGAAAATCTCACAAAAGCAGATAAGAGTAAATAAAATAAAATATATAATAAAAATAAAAGTCAATAAAAGGAAATCTTCAGTTTTACCAAAGTGTTATTCCACCTCCACCATGCACACACATGTGACTTAATCAGTGTGGAGAATGCCAAGTATTATGGATGCTGATCAGCAAAACTAATCTATAACTTATAACTTATTGAGCTGCCTGGGGAACTATGATGTAAAGTGACTTTATACATGGTCACATACATAATGTATGACTTGAATCCAGTTCTTCACTTCACCACACTACCTCTCTTTATGAAAGTTAGTGAGAAAATAAGGTCCAACAACTTACAAAATAAGTTATATTCCAAAAATGTATTTTTAAGTTGGCTGTTTAGAATTAAAAATGTATTTTCTCAAGGAAACACCATTACAGATGGTGACTAAGTTCTAATATGACCCACAAAATTCCATTTAACTCATGATGCCTGTGAACTACAATATTAGCTTGAGTCTAGAACCTGGAATTAGGGACACAAACAGTGGGAGAGAAAAGGAAGAAGAAAATAATTTCTACCTCTTTTGGATGAGGCAGAGGGTCAACCCTAGGCAAAATTTAGAAATAGGTAGTTTGTCTTTAATATCCTTTAACCAGTACTTTTAAGCAGCTCTCTTCCACATCCTTTTCTCTCCCAGGCCTCCCAAGGTGATTAACTTACTCAGACCCCATTATAGAACTTCTTCTAAGTCTGCCCCACTCTTATCTCCAAAATTCCACTACTATGAATAGCAAGTACTCCAGTATTAACTATCTCCCCCCAAAACTCCCATTACTTTGTATAGGTAATTTCAGGTGGGTGGTAGAAGGAAAGCAATATAAACTCTAGTGACTCTTATTACTTTCAGGATATAAAATTCCATTTTCCCTTCACATCTTGGCTCCTTCTTACCTTTTCAGTCTTCAATTTTAAACTTTACTAGGTTCCAGCTATACTGACTTCTTTGTTATTCCTCCCACACATCATGTCATCTATTTAACCTGTGTTTTTTTAATAGCTAACCTCAATTCCCATAATGCTCTTCCTCCTCATTGCCATCTCCTGGCTTCCTTCAAGCCTCAATTACAATCTCATCTTCTATAAGAACCTTTCCTGGTCTCTGTCAATGCTAGTCCCTTCCTTTTGAAATTGCCTAAAATTTACTCCATAAGTATTTTATATGTAATTGTTTACATATTATCTCCCCCATAAAATTTTAGTTGCTTGAAGACAGGGACTACTTTTTTGCCTTTCTTTGTACCCCCAGCATTTATCACAATGTCCAGTACACAGCAGGCAATTAATAAATGTTTACTATTGTAATTTAACCAGTCTTTATTTATATATGTATAGCCCTCCATGGCATTTACAAATGAATTTGTTTGGCGGAATTTTATCAGTTTAACAAAATGATAAATTTCAGGCAGTGCAAAGAAAAATGTTTTCATTCAGAGAACTAGAGGGAGGGTCAGCTCCCTCCCAACTGCTCTTGATTTTCTATTCTTCCTCACTTTTAAACTCAGTAATTGTTTGAAAACTTCAAGTTCCTTCAGAACAGTTCCCATGGAGCAGCACAATGATTTGCAAGTATGGATTCTTTTATAAATCTAGGATAGTCTATATAATACAATTTCATTAATTCAGATTTCACTGTCAGAATATGTCAGAACTAGACAGAGGCTAGGATGAAATTTTAGCGCTCAATTGGAAAAAAAGGCCTTTGCTCAATTAAATAACTGTAACAAAAATGGAAAAAGGATATTTCCCTAATTAAAAACTATTTCTAAATACTTCAGAAATATTCATTTAGATGCAAAAGCAAGGTCCATATTAAGTAGCATCTATTTAATACCCTCCTGGTTACTCTAAGTATACAAAAGGTAATAAAAATGGAGTTTTTCTAATATTCTACAATTCAATTGTACCCCATATCAGTCTGAATTAGTGAGATTTTAGTGAGCACAATTTGTCTTCAAAGACAACTTTAAGATTTTCTTTTTTATAATGTTAAGGAATATATAGATTCACAATAATCTATATTATTTCAGGATATTCAATGGCTAAAATGGTCCTTTTAAAGAGTGATCCTTTCAAAGCTTTGATGAAAAGTCCTAAACAAATGTTTTATACTATATAAGTATTGTTCCTATTTATAACACTAGTCCAGGTTCAGCCATTTAATCTATGTAGAGAATTACAGAACATATATAGTATAGCTTTACCTTCACAAGTTCCTTAAATACAGCATGCTGAATCATTTTTCTTTTGTTTAGACCAGATGCCATTTCTTCAAGATCAATAGCAGACCTACACAACAGCGGTATTTGAGGTTTTTTAATAAAAGAAAAAAGAGCATTCCCACCATGCCCAAAATGTGTTCCCATCAAAGAATACCAGTGTATTTGAAAACATACTTTCAAAATGTTCAAAAAAATTCAATTTTTTGTATGTATGACTTTCAATTTGAAAACTGGATGATTTACAAGGGATAAGTACTATTACAGAAAATGTACCTATCACTTAGTTGATTTAACTATTAATAATTCCATTTTACTTGTCTAAAGAGCGCTGGACTATGATTTCTTGAAATCCCTTTCTGTTATAAGAGCTATAATTCTATATCCGAATAGATATCAAAAAGTTTCATTAGAAGATATCAGAAGAAAATGGTGTGCCACTATTTTTCAAATTTTCTAAACCAAAAAAGTGATAGTATCTGCTCTGGTCTCATTACAATCACTCTTCTAATATGCAAAAGAACCCTAACAGTTTGCATCTTTAAATTTTTCCATTCAGAGAACTGGATTAAATGCTTTAGATGAGAGAAAAGTACTATATACTATGCCAGCTACTCAAGCCACACATTCTAAACAGTAATGGTTTGAATATGAAGAGGAACAGAGAAATTTTGATTAAGGTATAATGATTCTATGTTCTTTCTGCTCTGCCACAGCCAGATCTACTTTTTAGGGTAATATTATAATCATTGAGAACAGATAACTTGTTTTACTTCCTTCTTCAACATGTGGGGGGAAATTGAAGGGGAACAGAAGAAGAAAGTTATGGGATGCTAAACTCACACTCTTCAGTATAGAAAATGCTTAGCTGGATCTTTTATATCACCTAGAAAAGGTAACATATCCCCAAATTAATAAGTAAACTCTCAAAAGCTGAATAGTAACAACAAAATTCCATTAAAATAGGACCTGCCATTTATACTAGTAGAATGGCAATTTGTAGCTTGCTCTTTGAATGATAAAAAAAAATTAATAGGGCATATATGCATAGTAATCTAAGCCTCACAACAACCCTGTGAGGTAGGTAGCATAAATATTATTATCCTTATTTGACCATCAATATAGAAATATACTTTGGAAGCCAGATTTTGAACAAAATACATTTTCCCCTAAATCTCTTTTGCAAATAATGAATTTCTGTAGTTTCTAGGTTAATTCCTTTCTACAACACGAACAAGAATCTTGTTTTACCTGACTTTATTTAACTTACTTGACATTTTCTCGGAGCTGCTTCACCAATTTAATATTAACATCAGCTTCCAATAAGGCTGTGCAGACTTCTTTTAGCATAGCATTTAAAACCTAAAAAATGAGACCTGCTATTAGAAACCACCAGCTTTTCATTTCAATCATGATGATAAAAACAATGGTCACAAAATCACTCTTAATTATTAGTTTATGAAGATAATGCAATACCCTATTTTGTTACAAAGTATAGGAAGATGAAAGAATCAATGCCCCTTAGGATTATTTTAATTTATTGATACATTTCAGCACGACACTTACCAAACTCTCAAACAATGCTCCCCTTCACTCCCACAACAAAACATATTCCTCTGAGCTATTAATCGCTGAAAGAGCAATATATCCTTTAACCTTGACAATGCTACAAACACTGTATAAATTATAACTAAAAAGTATTTTGCTGCTTCTCAAGGTGAACTTTACTTACATTATTACAGTCATTGTGTACACTGTTTTAGCTGTTTGCTTTATTTTGCAGCACTTTATATAAATCTTCACAAATTTCTTTGAATTCTTCAAAGTTTTCACCCCTTACAGAGTAGTAAGATTTCATTATAGCCATAAACCATATTTGTTAACTATTCTCCTTCCTCAACAATAAAATGTTCCCATCCCCCAATCACTAGGCACATACTTTTTTAAAAAATAACTTTTTAGTCATAAGTACCATTGCAATGAACATTTCTGTATATGACAGTCTGTTCCTGCCATCAATGACTTCTTTGGGGTATAGTCTCAAAAGCAGGATCTCTGGACGAAAGGGCATAAACAATTTAATAATTTTTTTTTGCACAATTCCAAATTGTTTTGTAGAATGACTGTAATAATCAAAGCTACACCCACCACTAATTGTGTCTTTCTTCTCATAGGCCTCTTCAAACAAGTTTTTTCATCTCTTAACATCTTTCCTAGCTTCATGATTATGAGAATATTTAAAGGTGACTGAAATTTACACTTCTCTATTAGCAACTTTGAACATTTTTTACTTAAAACATCTGATTATTGACAGGTTTGTATTTCTTCTCTAGAAAACTGCCCAGATCCTTTATCCTTTCTCTGTTTGGCAGTTTTGTTTCAATTATCTACTGATTTTGGATGTCATTAGTAAAAAAGGTTTCCCCCCCAATCTATATATTTTCTTCCAATTTTAGTGTAACTGTTACATGTGCAAAGGCTTTTTAGTTTTGGATAATCAAGACTGTCTGTTTTGTCTTTTATGATCTTTTCTATTCTAACTTCGGATACAAATTTTTGTCCTATTCATAATGATGAAAAATATCCCTGTAAGTTTCTTCAAGTTTTTATGATGATTTAAAAAAAATTAGATTGTTTATCCATTTAGAATTTATTGCGGGGCAAGATGCAGATCTAAATTTCTTTCTTTCTTTTTTTTTGGGGTGGAGTGGGCTGGGGTGAGGCAGTTGAGGTCAAATGACTTGCCCAGGATTATAGAGGCAGTGTCTGAGGCCAGATTTAAACTCAGATCATCCTGAATCCATGGCCAGGTCTTTATCCAGTGTGCCACCCAGCTGTCCCCTAAATCTATTCTTCCCCAGATTTCTTGCCAGTTTTCCCAGCAGTTCTTGTCAAATAACAAATTCCTTCCCTAGTTATCTTCTTGGGCTTATGAAATACTAGACTACTATTTGCCTGTGTTTCCAGGGATTACTTATTTAGTTTATTCCACTGAACTGCTTAATCCAGTAATAATCCAGCTGATTTCTTGATCCAGTAGCAAACACTCTGATAAATACTGCTTAGTAATAAGAATTGGGATCTAATAGCACCAAGCTCTGCCTCTTTCTACTTTTCTCCATTAAATGAACTGACATTTTTGACCTTTTATTACAAATGAATTTTATTACTTTGTCAAATTCTATTTAGTAATTCACTTGATACAACCCTAAATAAGTCAGATAGTATCTTTTTTTTTTAACTATATTGGTATAGCTGGGCAGGGTTTATAGCCAGGCAGCTATAAATAATTAAATCTTTGTGTGATTATATGCTTTTTTTTATCTGTAAAGAATTTGTTGCCATTGTATTTATCCAAGTCTCACATGCACCTTAGTAGATTAATTCCCAGATACTTACGTCTTTTGTTTTTTTTTTTAACATCATCATAGTTTTCTTTAGTATCCTTCCCCTTACCTGTTTCAGGGAGCCATCCAATATAACAAATAGTATTTTAGAAGGACAGGATAGGAAAGGGAAGAAGGAAAGGAAGGAAGAAAGGAAAAAATTGGCACAACTGATCAATATGAAAAAGTCTAACAACATGTACAATGTGCTACACCTGTGGGCCTCCCACTTACACAAAGGGATGGGTTGGGGGTATCCTCTCATTACTATTCTTTTGAGTCATACTTGATCTATATAATTTTGCTACATTCACTTTCAATTTTTGTGTTTGTGGTTGTTCTTTCCATTTACATTGTTGTAGTTACTGTCTGGTGTAGCTACGTGGCACGGTAGATAGGCTTGGAGTCATGAAGACTCACCTTCCTGAGTTCAAATCTGGCCTCAAACACTTACTACCTGTGTGATCCTGGGCAAGTCACTTAACTCTGTTTGCCTTAGTTCCCTCAGGAGATAGAAGGAGAAGGAAAAGGCAAAACACTTCAGTATCTTTGCAAAGAAAACCTCTAAAATGGAGCCACAGAATTGGATATAACTGAAAAACAACTGAACCAAATGAACAAAAGTCATTATATATTTTTTTGGCTCTGCTTTACTTTATTCTTCATCAATTCATATAGATGTTTCCATGCTTCTTTGTATTCATCATATTCACCATTTCTTGCAGCATAGTAATTTTTAATGCATTCATGTACCACAATTTGTTTAGCCCTTCCCCATCCAACAGGCATCTACTTTCTAATTCTTTTCGATCACAAAAGTCCCACTATATTTTTGTGTTTTCTCAAATGGCATTTCTCTTTCCATTTTTTCCTCCTCAGTTTTGTTGGAAACATAAAGAAAGGCTGATGATTTTTGTGGATTTACCTTTATTCTGCTACTCTGATTTATCAGTATGAATTTTTTTGTCATTGATTCACAATGATAACAATATAAAGTCAATATAGAGAATATATAATATATATAATATAAAGTCAATATTTTCAAACCCTTTTCAAACCTAATATAACCAATCTTGAGTCAAACAGAAATCAATGTTGCTGTCATAAAAGTACAATAACCCTCCTTATTCTGTTCATTATCAGGAAACTAACTTTTTTCACTGAATAAATTTTTGAAGTCTTCTAAGTATACTATTATACCATCTGCAAAAAGAGATTTATTTGCTTCTTCTTTGCCCAATTTTATCACTTTAATTTTAGCTTTCTTTTCTTTTTGCTATATCTAGTACTTTTAGATCAAAGAATAGTGATAACAGTAAGTAGCCTTGCTTTCCTCCTGATTTTAGTGGAAAAGCCTGTCCTGTAGTTATAAAAAACAGTTTTAGATAGGTACTTTTGATCACATTAAGGAAAAGTCCTTTTATTTTTAATTATTATCCTTTAATAAGCTTTCAGATAAGACAATCTATTTTGATTATACAATGAATTAACTACCATCATTTCATGACTCAATTTCAATGTAACAGTTTAAAGGGTAAACAAGTTTCAAGTCCTCAGGATTTATAGTTACACATCACATTAAAAATTCTAATATCATAGAATAGCCTCTGCTAGAGAATTACATAATAAATGATATCATATAAAAGTTATATAAGAAACACAGGGTGCCATATGGGAGTTAGTTACATAACTGCTTCTTTGTAACATTAATACTTAAATGGTTACAGTTACATTTTTTTGGAGGAGGGGAAATGATCAACTTTTTTTTTAGTATCTGAATGTACTCAACAGGAATAAACTCAAATTCCCGCCCCCCTCCAAATTGTAGGATTTAGACTTCTAAAGAAAGAAAATAAATGAAGAAATAATTTCTCAGAACAAATTACTTGGTTTTAGAGGAATATATTAATATTGAATGTCTTAGTGTAACCATTTTAGAAATCTTTCCATAAACATATCAATGACCAAAAAGGAATTCAGAAAAACTATAAAATTAAATAATGCACCAAAAATTCATACAAATTAAAAATGTGCAGTACTCATTTAGATTAATATTTTCAAACCCTTTTATAATCATTACAAAAACAATGCATACAACATGGTAAGACATTAATTAGCCTTTACCATTAGCCCTATCTCCATTTTTCAGATAAGAAACATTATCACTAAAAAAATTAGCACCTTATGCAGGAAATTAGTAATCTGAAATTAGCTCAACTTCTTATGACTAATATGCTTGGATGATTAAGAATGAAGAAGTAGGACATTCCAAATTAGAGTATGGAAAACCTTACATTTTTAAGGCCAATGAAGTTTTTTCATTCTAGCACAACAATAAGTGTACATTCTCTATTTTTAACTAAGCATGCTCCTTGAAGGCCTATGAAGTTCTACTCATATTTACAAAGAAAGGGCTTTGTGGAAACAGCCTTGCCCCTCTATTCCAGGAATTCCTTCTCTGGGCTAGTAAGAAAGAATCTGTTGGAGCAGGTAGGTGGCGCAGTGGATACAGCACCGGCCCTGAAGTCAAAAGGACCTGAGTTCAAATCCAGTCTCAGATCAAACACCTGACACTTACTAGCTGTGTGACTCTGGGCAAGTCACGTAAGCCCAACAGCCAAAAAAAAAAAAAAAGAATCTGTGTGCCCTAGACAAGGTTTGGAAGTTGTGTTTCTTGTATGTTACCATTCATGAGAGACTTACATGCAAAAAACCTACATATCACAAAGAACAGAACTTTCTGGTTTACAATACATGTTCTTTTAAAGGTAATACTAAAAAAATACTCTCCAGTATGCCTTAGGCAGCCTGCCTTTAGTGTCCACACTTTGCTACCTATCAATCAGTGAACAATGTAGGAAGGAGGAAAAATAGAGAAGCTGACTACTCAACAGTTATCATACTGTTTCCTATCAAGTATTCCTCTGATGTCAATTTTCCTTGTCATTCACACAAAGAAAATAGAAAGTTTTATAGGGTCAGACAGGCTAAACACTACTAGTTTTATATGTTATCTGCCAATATCCACAGGAAGGAAAAATTAGGAAGCTTATTAATTATTCTTTTATCTATACTTAATTCTAAAAGTTAAATAAGTTAAAATAATTATATATGTCTTGAGCAGTAATAACATATTAAAGTGTAAAATGAGTCTGGCTCTCTGATGCAAAACTGAATACTTACAAAATTAAAATATACTTGAAAAATTTAATGAATTTCATTTGCTAATAGCTAACTGTAGAATATAGCCAAGGTAGAATGTCAGGAAAAACAATTTACTTGTTTGCATGGAGTGTGTGTGTGTGTGTATACATATATGTATATATAAGTAAAGAATAATTTGTGAAAATGCTAATTTTTCTTTCCTTCTCTAGACATCAGTTATGGATATTCCAATATTCCAAAAGCCAGGAGAGAACACTTTACAATGAAAATAAGGCCATTCACAGATCCTGGGTAATACTAGTTTCATCATTAACAGTTAGAAAAAGGGAGAGATGAGATGACAGGGGACTGGGATTAAAGAATGTTCAAAAGAACATGTTTTAAAGCTTAATGTGCTATTGAAGAAGGAAATGAGGCGTTAAATTTCGGAGGGCCCAGTAATCATATGAGAAAGGGAGAAAATAACACTAGATCTAAGTTAAAGTCAAAAGGGAATATTACCTACTTTTTTTGTGCCAAAGTTTTAATTAATTATTTCTAGGAAAGAAAGATTAAAAATAAGCTGACAAAACAGTCCTACACACTATACTTGGCTTTTGGATTTTGTCTGACAAGTAAATCTCATAAAGATGAGCAGAAGTAGTACCAGTGTTACTGCTCCCACTTCACCTCAGAAGAACAAGTAAGAATCTAAGTGTTAGCCTAGACCAGGGGGGTCAAACACAGGGCCCACAAGCTGAATGTGACCCACGACACTCCCTGAAGTCAGATTAAAAAGTTACTGGGAAATAATTTAATAAAAATAAATAAAAATACAATAAAACATATATAATGTTAATATGTGGTCCACAGGGATCTTTACTATGGTTTAGTGGCCCCTATTTCTATTTGAGTTTGACACCACTATATAAATTTTGCGTCATAACAAATACATACCTCTTCATTGATAATGGTGGCATTGCTCAATGATCGCAGTGCTGAGGTTATTTTTCTTCCAAGATCTGCTAACACCATCTTGGCAGTTTAGTACAACCTTAAAAGGTGATATCAAAAAACAAATAAACAAAAACTAAAAACATTAAAAACAAAACCTCAAAGCAGGAAGTATTATAATACAAACAATTTGAATTTGGATTTTCTAGCCAATTTCCAATAATTATAAAAATTGGATTTGGTGACACTGGTTTTGTCAATTGTGATAGATTTTATTTTAGAAAGGCAGCTTGGTACAGTGCTGGAGTTGGAGTCAGGAAGCCCCGGGCATATATACCACCTGAGACATTATTAGCCATAAGACCTCAGGCAAGTTACTTAACCTCTTCTGGACCTTAATTTCCTCATCTGTAAAATAAAGAAATAGGACTTGATGGTAGTTAAAATCCTTTCTATCTCTAGATCTATAATTCTATGATTCTGAAGACATCACTTGAAGAAGGGAAAAAAAATTAAGCATTAAGGAAATTATTAGTTCCTAATCAAGAATCTCTTTGTGACATTTTGAAAAAAAGAGATATTAAAAATATGTTCTGGAGCAGAAGATATATTTATCCTATCCTACCAAGAAAATATTTATTCTAGATTTTACTTGCCACTGTTGGAAAAGCCACAGTCAAAAAAAAACCTAACAAAAAAAGTACATAGTTAATTCCATTATAAAAGAAAAAGATCATCATTTATCATTCATGACAATTCTATAGTGAATGCCTTGTTAGCTCACATTCCTTCTGTTACTTCACTCACCATATTGACACTTCTTTATTTACTTTTAGCACCATAGACAAATAAGGAAGTTTTAAGGTTGCTGTTCCCACACTGAAGCTTATATAACAAGAAAGGCCTTTTATTTATTTTTTCCCCTAAAGAGTAGAATTCACATTTTTGCTTTCACTTATAGTCAAATCTTATTTGAATACACACTCAATCTGTTATAGTCGATCTTTTTTTAGAAATAGAAAAAAATGATAAGCTACTATTTAGGGCAGATAGTCATTAACATTCTTAGGATCTACAATTAAGTCACTTCATTAATGATTTATTGAAGTATTTCCTTGTTGGCCTCGAAAAATTCACACAACTTTGGTTCATATTTTTGTAGAAATGAAATTTATTGCATTTCCCTTCACACTTTGAAAGAACAACCTGAGACATCTACACTCAGCCACTTCTATGAAGATCGCATCTGGGCACTTTTCAAAGCGATTGAAACAAAAATTTGTTTATTTTGTCGGAACCATACCAAGTAGATGAGAAGCCAAAAACTTTCCTTGCTGTGTCTTTCACCATTTTTTTTTTTGCAAATGACAGAGCTTCATGGGTCTGGGAGTTTGAGAAGCAAGTCAAGGAAGAGCAACCAAGAATCTATCTACAATTAGACTAGTGGAATACTTCTAGCCACTAAGATCAAAGAAATACTGGAAGCTTTACCTTACAATTCTCTTATTTTTTTAAATTAGTATTTTATTTTTCCCTAACATGTAAAAACAATTTATTCATTTTTTAAATTGAGTTCCAAATTCTTTCCCTCCCGCCTTCATTGAGAAGGTAAACAATTGAAATAGGTTATACATGTTACAGGTCTCTTATAACACAGGCAGAGAAGAGGAAGCACATAGTAGAGTGGATCAAAACTTAGAATCTTACAATGTTACTTACAAGAAACACATGAAGCAGAGAGACACAGAGTAAAGGTAAGGGGCTGGAACAGAATCTATTGTGCTTCAGCTGAAGTAAAATAAAGCAGGGGTAGTAATCCTAATCTTAGACAAAGTTAAAGCAAAAACAGACCTAATTAAAAGAGATAAAGAAGGAAACTATATCTTGTCATAGCCAAAGACAACGAAGCAATTAAATTAAAAGAGCAAGGAACAGTCTACCTGTCAGATCTATGGGGAGGGGAGGAATTCATGACCAGAGAAGAGACAAAGAGCATTATGAAATGTAGAATAGATAATTTTTATCATATTAAATTGAAAAGCTTTAGTACAAACAAAATCAATGCAACCAAGATTAGAAGGAAAGCAGAAAGTTGGGAAACAATTTTTATAGCAAGTGTCTCTGATAAAGGCCTCCTTTCTCAGATATATAGAGAACTGAGTCTAATTTATGAGAATACAAGCCATTCTCCAATTCAAACAATATGAAGAGGAAGTTTTCAGATAAAGAAAACAAGGCTATCTATAGGCATAAGAAGAAGTGCTCTAAATCCCTTTTAATTAGAGAAATACAAATTAAAACAACTCTGAAATACCACCTCACACCAATCAGATTGAGCTAATATGACAAAAAAGAAAAATGACATACGTTGGAGAGGATGTGGGGAAATTGGGACACTGATGCTGGTGGAACTGAGAACTGATCCAACCATTCTGGAGAACAATTTGGAACTATGTCCAAGGGGCAACCAAAGCAATACCACTACTAGGTCTGTATCCCAAAGAGATCATAAAAAATTTTCCCTACATGTGCAAACCTATTTATAGCAGCCCTATTCCTGGTGGCAAAATATTGGAAATTGAGGAGATGTCCATCAATTGGGAAAATCTGAATAAGGTGTGGTATATGAATGTAATGGAATACTATTGTGCAATAAGAAATGATAAACAGGCACATTTCAGGAAAACCTGGAGATACTTGTACAAACTAATACAAAGTGAAATGAGCAAAAAAAAAACAGTGTACACAGTATCAGCAAGAATATGTGATGACCAACTATGAATTACTCAGTTTTTCTCAGCAACACAATGATCCAAGACAAATACAAAGGACTCACGAAGGAAAATGCTATCCATATCCAGATAAAGAACTGATGGATTCTGAATGCAGATTGAAGCATATTTTTTTTACTTACTTTATTCTTTCTCATGGGTTTTTTTTTCCTTCTGTTTCTTCCACAACCGTGATGAATATGGAAATATGTTTTACATGACAGCATACATATAAACTGCATCAAACTGCCTACTGTTTTCAGAAGAATGGAGGGAAGGGAGAAAAATTTGGAACTCAAAATCTTATAAAAATGAATGCTAAAAATTTTCTTGATATGTAATTGCGGGAAAAATGAAATACTATTTAAAGCAAAAAAACCCCCCAATAACCTAAAAACATAGACAAAGAAGAAAGGAGATGATAGTAAGGTTATAATTTCCAGTTAGAAAGATAAGAAAAGGAGAAGGTCACAGGTGTCTCTGGTACTCCACTTAGTGGAACACTCTCCCTTTATCCGTACTTTGTTAAGTCTTTTGGGTAGTGAGAATTTCTTTTTTTTCCAATCTGGCCGCACTACTTTGTATTTCATCATGCCCAGTGAAACATCTATCTCATCCTTCAAGATCAAATCAGCCTTGGTGCTCATACCTCAGCAGTACCCTCTACCTTGGGAACCCTCTGAATGAAAAGTGGTTGAAGAGCTCTTCCCCAAAACTCCATTTAAGGAGCCCCTACCTTCCCAATATGAGTTGGATATGGTTGAAACAAGTGAACTGCTCCCTACCCCTTACCTCCTGGCCCCAGGCTAGCCATTTCTTCTTTTCCCATATGGCTACTCTACTATGGAAGTCATCATGCCCCCTACACCACACCCACTCACTCCACTTCCCTTTCCCTATACAACCTTTTCAATTTTCTTTTGTGTTGTCTTGGGAGCAGGGACTGTCTTCTCATATTTATATCTCAGAATTTAGCATAGTACCAGGTACTTAAAAAATGTGCTTAATAGGTGCTTGGTCAAGAAAATAAATAATCATCTATTGCTGTTAAGTTTATCTGAATGGTGCATCTTTTGTCAATTTTAAACTTTTATTATTTTCATCTGCAGTTTCTTCCCCTTCAAATCCTTGCCAACTCACTGAGCATGGTCTTTATTGCACTCTCCTCTACTGCACCAGAAAAAACAAGTGCATCAAATGACTGTATATAAATATATATACATATGTAGATAAATATATTTATTGCTATGTATGTATGTGTATATATGCACATATGTACATATATTACTATAACATAAAATTACATATACAATTTTACTCTGAAATAAGATTTTTCATCCTCTTTGCTGTATGGACAAAAATAAAAAAGGACTCTGAAAATTGATGTACCTTGGGCTTTCAAGCTATTTTTAAATTCTAGTTTTTCATGGTTAATGGTAACTTATCTAATAGGATTTAAACAGTCAACTCTTTTCCTTGTTTCTCAGAAATTGTTCCTTAACACACACACACACACACACACACACACACACACACACACGCGCGCGCGTGCCCAAGTATAATCAGTGGCCCAGCATGACACCTCTATTGACTTACCTGTCAGCTTCCCTTGCCCAGGACCTTCCTGTTTTTTTTGTTTTTGCTTTGCCAGTGATCTTAAGAGGAGGATGTTTGCTCTCCCAAGTCCCAGGTATATCAATAGTTACCTAAGATTTTGAACCAATTTTTCTGGGCATAAATTATTAAATGGAAATTATTATAACATCTATGAAGGTAAACTGTGAGTTGAAAAAAAGATCTTAGAATACCTATAAAAATGAGGTACAAACTCTTTAATTTACAGATGGGGAAGTTGAAAGACCAAAGAAGAGGAGTGGATTGCCCATGTTCATACAGCAAGTTAGCTGCAAAGCAAACAAAACCAGAAGCCAGGTTCCTTCCTACAGCCTATTGCCTGTCTTACTCCCTCATAAAGTTTTTGTAAGGGCAAAATAAACATGAAACATTTTGAAAAGACAAAAATATTCTGATGCCAAAATATAATATTCTAAACAGGGACCGGATTATCATTGTTCCATCATCGAAGTACAGTACATGAAAATGAGGCACCAGAGGACAAGGCTCTTGACAGTGCTCTGAGGGTCTCCTTCCTTGGAGAAGAGTCACAGAGAAAACAACTCTGTGGCTTCAACCACAAAGACAAAAACAGTTTCTACTGCAAAGCCTTATACAAACTAACTACAAATACTTCTAACCAACAAAAATTTAATAGATTATTATTGACTTATTCCTTTACTTACTCTGTCTGCCAGCTAGATGTACTATCGAT